CTCTTAAATAAGACTTTAGTTACACCTGGAGTAACATTCACAAGCTAGCATACAAGTCATTAAAACTAGCTGCAGCTTTACCAGCTTTGATAAACACTTTAATTCATCAATAATTATAATACAAATATATAATAAATTATTCTGAAATGGATCAATCTGCATAATGACTGCTTGGTACTTTAAGTATATGTTGACGCTAATACTTTTGTACTTTTACTCGAGTAACATTTTGAATGCAGGACTTGTACTTGTAAGAGAGTATTCCTACAGTCTGGTACAGACACTTTTACTAAAGTACAAGATCTCAGTACTTCTCCCACCTCTGACTATAGCATGCAAACAACTAGGTGATTGTGTTTGTGTCGACATCTAAAATAGGGCGATTAAATAAATAGTAATTGTTGAGAAATGCAGTCGTTTTCATGAGGTTTGTGAACACCTTGCTAAGCCGATAGCAGTGGTCTCTTTCCCCGCATAGGCCATTTTCTCTGCTCGGGAATTTAAAAGGCTCAGTTAAATGCCCGCTCGACCACGCTGTAGGTCAAAGGAATCAAAGCAGCCTTTCCATAATGCCATTTTTCACACGGTGGTACACTTCCAGCGAGAAATAAATACCACATCTCACACTATGGTTAACATTCAGACACTACGAGCACCACGAGTGAGGCTACACAAGTTAACTGCTCATAAACACTCGCATTGTTTAAAACACATCACACTGCGATGAAAATAAACATCTCGGCTCAAACACAGAGAATTTCTCCGAACACGACAGCAACCTAATGAACTTTACATCTCGGAGGTTATTCCATGTGCCACTTACCAGTACGACGGGAATGCCCCCCAGACCCCTTTGTCTCAGTCCGACATCCTGAACTCCTCTTCGGCTCAACTTTGAGAAACACCTCTCTTTTTCGGCGACAAGACAACGGTTGAATCCGCTGGCAAGTTCATAAAATAGCTGCCACCGATAAATTCCAGCAACAGGCGTCAGGTAGCGCCGTTTTCCCCCCACTGTTTACACTTTTCCGTGAGGTTTTGCTTCGCCGTTTTCTCTCCGGTAGCTCCGTGGTAACAAAGTAACGTCCTCGGCTGCACCAGCTGCTGCTGTTGCGGTGGGCTCATGCGTTCGACGTGAAGGGCCCTCCTCCTGCATGGGAGTTGTAGTCCTTTAGAGTTGAGTGTCAGTACTACAAACACCCACACATCAGAATCGAGTTTATTGCCAGGTACGTTTACACCATAGCGTTTACACATACAAGGGAATTTGCTTTGGTGTATGGAAGTGCAAACGTACAAAAAACATAAGAAAATAAATTGTAAGAAAGTGTCAAAAAGACAACGACTATAACAAATATACAAACGTTTTAACATTAAAAAGAATAAAAACAAGTATTGACACCAAATATAAATATACAAAAGAAATCTTAGTACAATCAATATGACAATTTATGACAAACTGCAATATTTATTTTAAAAAAGTAGGGTTGTGCAGCAGATGTTCCCAAAACAGTTTTAATGTACAATTAAACTATTATTTTTTGTTTACTATATTTTTCAAATTCCTATAAATATTCAAAGTATTTGTATCAATATTACGCATTAATCATTTAAATATTTTCTCAGAATTATGACTTTTATCTCAGAAAAGAGATTAAAGTCAGAACTCAATTATTTTTTAACTTTTGGTCACACCCCAGGTTTTTGCATCATGAGGCCTCAATCCTCTTCCGTAAAACATCATAACATCATGTCTGCTCATTAAAACACATTATACTGCATAAGTACTATAGAAAATCTGGTATAATTTCACTTCCAACTGTTTTTTGTCTTTTTGTATAAAAAGAAAAAAAAACATGTGGAAACCTTACAGCTCCTATGTAAGACAGTACCAGAGGAATGGAAACAAATGTTATTGGAAAATGTAAAACGTTTTAATACCATCATGATGAATGATACTGCTGATAAAACCCATGGCTTCAAATTCCATACAATTTAAAGGGGTTCCCCAACTGTGGCTGACTTTTCCTCCCTTGTGTGCCCCCTGGTGTCCGAACCACTGAAATTCACTGAAGCCTGCCATTGCTTACCAATCTCTTCACATTCTCATTACATTTGAAATTAAGTAAAGGCAAGTGTTACAAACTGAAAAAAGATATCTCAGGATTAGCTGTCATCCTTAGCATTAGCTTTTCTATCAGCCTCATTCAGATACTCCTGGTCAGCATAGAGGAGAAAGCCAGTGAAGGTGCTGTCTGTCCAGAAAGGATCAAAGAAGAGTCCGTTCTGCTCTGCGTAGAAGATCTGCAGCCACACCTGGTCAGACTGCTGCAGCTGGAGGACAGTAGAACCAGACGCCACGTCATGGTTCCCTGTGTTTGCATCAAATGTTCTGATCTTATACTGTCCATTGTGTAGCAGCCCAATGGCCAGGTGCTTGTTTGCCAGAGTGATATCATATGTGAAGTAATAGATCCCGGGGACAGCACAGACAAACTTCCCACTGCTGGCATTGTAGTGATTCCCTTCATTCAGCATAATCCGGTTGAAGCGGATGGGCAATCGCTCTTTGGGGTAGCTCTTTGTCACCGCCACAGAGAAGGCTGATCGAGCTGCACTGCCACAGTTACATCCTCCTGGAGCTCCCTGCTGGCCCACGTCACCCAGCTTTCCTTTAGGGCCCCGTTTTCCCAAACCCCCTGGTGTTCCTCGCAGCCCCTTCAGTCCTCGAGGTCCAGCCTTGCCGATGACACCTTCACGCCCATTCACACCTGGCTTGCCTGGGTTCCCTGTCCTCCCTGGATCACCTAACAAATGAGGACGTTTTTGTATTTTTACAACTTACAACCACGACTTCATCATGTATCAACAAAACTCAGAAGTCTGACTTGATACTCACAGTTCATAATCTTCAGGCTCAGGTTCAGGTTATTTAAAGGGCTAAATACAGATTATAGACTGGCACTTTGAGATATGCCAGTCCAGCTCCTGGGCACTGCCGAGGTGCCCTGAAGCAAGGCATCCAACCCCCACACTGTTCCCCGGCCGCTGCCTAGTAGCTACCTACTGCTCCTAACAATAGAATAGGTTAAATGCAAATTATTTGCTGTGTACATGTGTTTCAATTAACAGGATTTTATTAAATTATTCCTTTCCATTTCTCATAGAAAAAACTATTGATTACCCCAATCATAGGTAGGGCAGATTTTAATAAAAATGTGTGTAGCTGCTACAGCTGTTGTCCCTGAGAACCCAAACAGAAGTAATGTGTCTCTGTAGAAGACTTTTTTATCTAACCCAATCATCAGAAAACCGTAAATCAACATTAAGGTTCAAGCCGGTAAGATGTTGTGTTATGTGATCTTTGTAAAGGGTTGAGCGTCTCTACAACCCCAAACGATTCGCATTACGATAGAAGAGATTCAGACAGTAACTACCTCTATCTCCCTTTTGACCTTTCTCTCCACCCTTCCCGTCCGGGCCATCCTTCCCTGGAAGCCCCTCAGGGCCCATGGCCCCGGGAGACCCAGGGGCTCCGGGGTGCCCGGCAGGCCCCTCTGGACCTGGCAGACTGCAGAGCAGCTGGGAGGAGTGGATGGTGATGTTGCGACCTCTCGGAGGCCAGGAATACGTTGATTTGGAGAAGACAACTGACGGCAAACACAACATCACACACATCTGGAGCATGATGTTAACTGTGGAGCCACAAGAAGATGAAGTAATGTAAATGTTTACATCAATAAATGTGTTCAAGTTTTATGAGAAAGTTGAAAAATATGATTCACTGTCTTTTATCATAAAACATCTGCCAAAAACAAGGGAATGGAAAGTGGTGAGTAAATGCATAGTATCAGCTATAATCTGAGGAAAACAATTATTATCATAATGTTTTAGTCACCGTCATGCTCTGACTCAGGTCTTACTGATGAATATGAGATCAATAAAATCTGCCTACAGCATGTTTTTCGCCAAGGGAGTGCATAAAACGCTTCTTAATCAGAGAAAGAACTCACCAGTTGAGAATGTATGACCCATAGGCATCTTTCAGCTCTACGTCCTTTTTCTGCACAAGGGCACAGACTTTCCTACAATGTTTTCCAATAACCGGATGAGATAGCATTCTTCAGGAAGAGCTGCAGAGAAAAGTGCAGCCCAGTGAATCTTTAACATCCGCCCTGTTTAGCAAGTACAAGGCCAACACATACTTTCACAGTGACGTCATTAAACTCCAGTCAGTGTAGCAGGGGTGCACAGCTGAAGTGGTGACGCATCGCTTGTTCGGTCAAACTCTGGAGAGAACGGATGTTATATAACAGACATGTTTAGAACAAAGCATTTAAGGTTTGTTATACTGTTTACAATTTTGATAAAGTTACAACTGTGTGCGTTTTAAATATAACTCCCTAACAAGATGTTCAAGTGCAAAATCCAACAGAACAACAAGATGGTCTGCGGTATAGAAGTGTATAAAACGTAATGATGTGACCAGATGTGTTTACAGATGTGGTCCAGATCTAAAAGGTCAATACAATGTCCCAGCTGCTGGGCGGGGCAGTGCCTTGTTTAGAGATCTACCTTTAACTGGAGCCATGGGAACATAAATAACATGACAGCTGGTTTTTGGGAAACACAATTAAAGAATGATCTCATAAAAACACGTGGTCACCAAAAAAAAAAGAGTTCTCAGTAAAACCTGCACATGCTGTAATCTAGTAGTTGTTTTTAAAATGTAGTTGTCAACTAATAAAAGGAATACAATTAAATTGGGCAACAGAGGGGAACAAATCAATAGTAAAATGGACATACTCCACACATGAATCCACTGCTGTTTACAAGCTCTACTCTTTGCATGTCCAAAGAGAATTTGTTAGAATCTGTCGAAAACATTTTTATTGAATTACTATCCATCATTAAGAACCACTGAAGACATGAGCTACATTTCATATTGCAATGATGTTGACCAATATGCATAACAAATAAAACAACTATTCACACAAGAATTCAGGCAAACATACATTTTATTATAAAAATTATGCAATAATCCGAATAAAAAGTAGTTGGATGTGCTACTATTGAGACATGAGGGAGGCTCGGTCATCTAAAAACAGCACTTACATTCTCTCACATGGAACTTAAGCATATATCAGTATTGTCCTATGGTCTGTCAACCTGTGGCCTCAAAAACAAAAGTATTCCAAAAAGAAATGAACACATTACTGTACACGTTTTGTCGAGTTTGTAACCAAACATTTGCTGAACTTTTGGAGTCTTGATTATTTTTGACCGAGCAGCAGCTCTGGTGAGAGTCCTTGGGAGAGTTTGGGAGAGTCAGCAGGTCACTGGTTGAGGAAGGAAGCCATGGGATCATCCTCCCGGCAGCGCTTCATGCGGAAGGCCTCCATCTCCTCCTCAGTGGGCGCCTTCACTTCCTGCAAGCTGTTGTACGGCCTCTTCCTCTCCTCCACCTGCATGATCGCCTCGATGTGCTTCACCCGCTTGTCCTCTGCTTCCAGTGCCTGGGAGGAAGAAACAAGTTGGAGGGAAATCAGCAAAACCTGAGACGAACACAGAACAACATTTTGGCAAATCTGAAACATAAAATATTTTACCTTCTTCAGTTTCTCCTTTTTCTTCTCTGCGTCGTCTGAATCGCTGCCGTCAGAGTTGTGCTTCTTGTTCTTCTTGCTCTTCTTTTTCTTCTTCTTTTCTTTCATCATCTTATCTCGATGCATCTGGGGACATGGACACGGTTAACTTACTAACCCAGGGATGGTAGAGCTCTTTAAGAATACATTGAAGTACTCTTAAAAAGATACAACAATAAGATTCACACACGCTTACCATCACATCTTAATTGTTAGTATTAAAGCAATTAAGAAATGAATAGTTCACACAATTTCTCTATATCGGAAGCTGTTAACTGTATACTGAACCTTTTAAAGATATCTTAGTGGTTAAATATACGTTTTGCATGTGACGGTATGTTTTGATCGTGAGTTTAATTTATTTCTAGTCAAAGAAATCAAAATGGTGAGTAAGCAAAATAAAACAACTATATAACTGTAAAAAGCGAGATACATTTGGGAATAAGGCATTTTTTTTAAGGATTACATATTTCATATATATTTCAAGCACATCCCTAACTTTGAAAACAAAAAATAAATTAAATCCAAGACTTTGTACAAACCCCCAAAAGACACAATTAAGGCGGCAAAATGAACATAAACGCGTCTCAGCGCCACTTACTTCCAGCAGAGTCTTGGGCGGTTCTTCATCCTCGTCATCCATCAGTCCCTCCTCAAATGGAACACAGTCTGTGTGGTTCTTCAGGTTATGAAAAAAATTAAAACACAAAATAAGTCACAGAGCTAAAGTTATAAAAACTGATGTGTGAATCCCACAGAGCCTTCAGACACTTGATCTCCTTACCACTCTAAGTCCAGCATCTCCTGTGCAGTAACTCATCTTGACCATGGAGTGACAGCACTTGTATCCCCAGTAGCCGTCGTTCCAGAAGGAGCCCCAAATACACTAAAGACAGGAGAACGATTTTTAGAATACAACAAAATGTGATACAACTCAGCGGGACATCTCTCCGGTGTGTTCTGCTGTCCTTACATTGTGGTTGTTGATGACCACGTCCTCCTCATACTTGGAGCGAGCCACGGCCTTGTCCTGCCCCTTCAGCACTGCCCCGTGACGAGAGTACTCCACGTAGTCTTCCGTCTGGGCCAAGAGCAGCTCCCGTGGCGGGGCATCCAAGTGCTCTTCACCTCCGTACTGAGAGTCGCACACAAACGCAGAAACATCAGCAGTGAAGTCTCCAATCTGGAGGAATTCAACTACCGTAAACGTTGGCTGAGGGTTGACCTCTTACCTTCTCTAGAATGCTGTCCCTCTGTTTCTCCTTAAAGTCCTCCTTCTTGACCTTGAAGGACTTGTGGAGCAGCTCCAGCTTGGTGGGGTCGGCCTGCAGATGCACCTCCGAGCCCCTCTCATAGGCCTCCCAGGCAAACACTGGCACAAGATGAAGCATTTTCAGTTATTTACGAGGTACAGTACAGACAACAGCTACAAGTGGGAGAGGGAATGTCATTTGTATGTCTATTTTATGGTCAGGGTTTAAGGGATTACGTCTGCATGATATAAGGCATGGGATTATATGACTATTGTTATACTTATATCTGATTAAAAAAGTGTACACAAACCTGCTGCTAGAATATAAACATTTTTGCTAATTTTGAATGTATATGCTTCTGTAAGTAGCACTTATAATATATTATTATGATATATATTTCCAGTATCTTTTTTTTCATAACAAAATTATAATGCCATTTTAAAGTGCGGGTTATTCCTAAAACTATCGACAAAAAAAAGCCCAGATTCTCTTTGTGTCCCATCTCATATCTCCGTGTCATATCAGAAGAGTGGATATGCTTTGAGGGGGGGGGTAAGCAATCCCCCCCAAATCATGTTTTAATTGAGCTCTGTCTGCTAGCTGGGGGTTAATGTTATCTCCTCAGAAGTAAACTCTGTTTTTGCAACATCAGACAAATCACAGATCTTAGAGTGGAATTGAGGACTTACATTGTGTTTGAGCCATGTTGATGGTGGCCCCACTGTAACGAGCAAAGTTGTCTCCAGCATACCCAACCCTGTCAGACAAAAAAACATTTCAAAAATTGTCATCAATATAAAACAATTCAAATGTTTTAACTATTTGGAAATACAGTATCGACAACTTACTCGTCGGGGTTCATGCCGGTGTTGGAGTATGGGTTCTCTCTCATAGCTCGAGTCTTTGGATCATAATATGCTGAATCTGGATCCAAATTCCTCAAATACTGCAAGAAACAGACATGAGAAGTTGATATTAGTGGTTGTCACTTGAGTTACATAATCAATTTAAACAGTTGACATCAGAGGTATCACAGCAGTCCAGCAGATGCAGTTGGCCTGAGTCTCCAGATGTTTTCCGTACTTTAGCTGTGTCTTCTCTGATACGCAGGTTCCTGACAGTGATTCTTCTCTTGGAGTCAAAGTTCTGACCAGGCATGTCGATGTCATCTGCATATTTATCTTCATCCTCATCCTCACTGTCGTGTTCCCGCTGCTGCAGAGAAATTATTAAAAGAAAAAGAAAGTTAGTCTTCTAGACAAGAGATTGCCTTTTATCGCTTTACATTACACAACAACATTGCTACTGCGATCTTGACCGCTCACTTACACCTTGGTCCAGTTTTCCAGAAGCCAACTCATCCTGAAGCTTCTGGGCCTTCAGGGTCCTTTTGGCCTGTGAAGCAGAACAAAATACAAAGTGAGATCCCAGTGGTAAACAGGAAGCAGACAACTCAGCTAGAATGACTATGGTGACACAAAGGTTAACACTTGAAGCTTGATTCACCACTAGACTGCTTACCACATCTACTTTGGCGTACTCTTCCACGATGCGATGGTGGTCCTCAGGGTTGTACCCGTTCCAGCGATCTCGCTTCCCGTCATAGTCCAAATCCAGCTCCACCTGACTGTGTTCATCTGGAGCTATGCTGGTGCCTGTAAACTTTGCCCCAACTTTTCTGGGTCGCTAATGAGACAAGGATGAAGGTCAGAGGTTATTCGTGACGGATATAATTATATTAATGTGAATGATTATAATTAGTGGAAGATTCAAGATTGCTTTATCCATTTTACCTCCAAGCACTCCTTCTTCTTGTGTGTCATGGCACCACAGTTTTCACAAGATCCCTTACGAAACTTTGTGGTGACAGACATCTGTTTGGAAGAAAAAAGAAAAGGATGCTTTCACCTTTCAAGTTCATTTGTAACGTCTACATGAAAGTAGCTGATTGATTAACCCTTACATCGTTCACTCCTCTCTTGTACCACTCTCCAATGGTTGAGAATTGCACCGCAATTTCTTCCTGTGGTCTCTGATGCTTGAGTGTGGGCCTTTTGGACGGGTCGATGTACCATGGCACCGATGAAATATACTGTGGGATGTGAGGATTGATGTCCCTGGAAAAGAAGGAAGCAGCACAGGTTAGTCCAATTACAACAGTAGTATCGTAAATAAGTCAAACTGCAGACCTATGTTTAAATCAAATGAAATAAACAAAAGCTATCTGTAAACTAGGTGCTCTTTAAAGAATGTCCTAGCTCTGTTTATGCAACATTGATATAATTAAGCCATTGAATTTTCACTTTGTGTGATCTGTTCTGTTTGTTCTTCATACCACGTGATCATGTTTCTGAACCACATAAATAGATAGGTCATGAAAAGTAGTATCCAGGGTTTTAGGGAGTTAAGTCAGTTGTTGAACAATGGTTTTTTTTAAGTCACAAGTTCCTGAACTTAATGGAAGTTCAGTTGTAAATCACTGAGTGCTCTTTTGAGAAATGGTGATAATTCCCCATTAGACCTTAACTCACTATATTTATTTTACAGATTTAGATTTTTCAGTACAAAATATAAATCAACCAATACATTATTATATATAACTATAGTAAGCTACCCAGTAGTGTATAAAGTAATTTAAATAAACCCAACTTTTATTAAGTGCAACATTGAAGTGATGGACACAATACATCATTCTAATATAATATATGTGGGGGCTTAAATTGACCATTCTAGCCATGAGTAATTTTGCTTTTGGTACTTAAAGTATATTTTGATTCCAATACATTTTTGGACGTTGTTGAGGTAACACTTTTGAATGCAGGACTTTGAGTATTTCTGCTTGTGTAAATAATCAGAATACTTCTTCCACCTCTGCTGAGGACCCTCTCTTTGGGCAGACATGAACTTACTTTCCCTCCTCGTCCACCTCAGCCGGAGCATTTCCCAGCTTCCTCTGCTCCTCCAGCTCCTTCTTCTTCCTCCAGTCCTCGCGGGTCATCTTCTTGGGCTCATCCAGGGCCACGAGCCCCTCCGGGTTCGCGCCAACTGTCGCCTCCTCATCCATGGCTGAACCTGCCAACAGACATATAAAGCTTCAGTAAGTAACTAAGTACATTACTCAAGTACTGTATTTAAGTAAAATGTTGAGGGGATTTATTCAAGTATTTAAATGTTTTACTTTGTTGTCCTACTACAATTCAGAGGTAAATAGTGCACTTTATTCCACTACATCTATGTATTACCTTAAGTTACTTTAGTGAGAAATATAATCAACTCTTAAAAAATACTTTAGTTACACCAGGAGTAAATTCACCAGCTAACGTGCAGCATACGAAGTCATTAAAACTAGCTGCACCTTTACCAGCTTTGATAAACACTTTAATGCATCAATAATTATAATCAAAAAATATCATACATATTATTATGAAAAATCGTCAATCTGCACTTTACTTTTGGAACATTTTGATGCTAATACTTTTGCACTTGTACAGGACTAACATACTTGATTGCAGGACTTTTACACTCTGGTAGTTCTACTGAAGAATAATATCTGAGTATTTCTTCCACATCTTGCTTTAGTACAGCCGTGTGACACAGCGAGGGGTTTATTAGATACATATCTGTGAACATATTTCAATATTTTACTATACTTCCCTTTGTTGTCCCGAAGCCCCATCTAGCAGTGATTGAATGTTGTCCACAATAATACAATTTCAACCGAAACTATCCCTCTCACGTTAGCTAACCTTAGTTTACCAGATGAGTGACTTGAGAGTGAAGGAGATTGTTTATATTTAATTATTTAATTTTATCAATAACTTGCTTACCTTGTTAGGACACAACAAACACCAAGTGGATGATATTTCCCCGTAAAAAGGGATTTTCTGTGTCTGTTTGCGATCCTTCGTTATGTTTTGACTAACACACGATGGTGGCCATTTTATGTCAACTACAGCTACGTCACGTCCTCTCTTGTTCTTCTCTTGATTTATGGCGGGCTGCAAACCAACGTGTAATGGTGCATGGCGCCACCTACTGTACCGGAGTGTGAAACTGCGAGACTGAAAGACAATTATAAAATTATAAACTATGCTCTATTTTAGAAATTAATTATGTTTTGTTCAAATATTCAAATAAAGCCATTTCAACCTAAAGCTGTTAATCCAATGATATATTTTTAACACCTCATAACTCATAACATAATTGCAAATAACTAGACTAACGTTCAGAGATGCAGCAACTATTGTATGATTTTACCTCCTTACACCATTGTTATACAAACCTTGAAACAACTAACGAAAGCTACAAAACCAATGGGCTACACTTTTGAACCTGGCCTATTTTAAGTAGACTACTATACCGATAAAGTGCATTATTAGTTATTATTTTTTATAATACAATACATTAGTGGTTATTAAATTCCCATTGTAACAACGCTGCTGCCACATCATAGGTACAGCTGATAGCACCATGAGCCACAATCCATCACCTCAGGTGCAAGGACACTGTTGCCATTATTGACTTGAGTGATCTTATAAATGCTTCTTTATTTCTGTGTAGTATAGCATATTTTGTTGTACTTTTTCACAAAACTGAAATAATGCTCAATTCACACCAGTGAACTGGACAAGCCCACTAATTGCTGGATTACCAACAATGCAAACTGAAACTGGCTTCCTGTTCATCTACTGGTCTGTGCCAATTAGTTGAACATTATTCTGGGAATATGCCACACCAAAGTAAAATTGAAATTGAAATAAGGGCCTTTATGTGGTAACTAGTATTTGTTGAATTAACGTTTAAAATACATTTGCTGCTTGTGTTTTGCAAATTCCTGAATTAGTGGATGTAATCAGATTATTAACAGTTATAGTGTGTGTTTTTTTTTGTGTTTTGTTATTCATATTTTAGAAGAACATATATGTTATGCTTCCCATCTCCTGAATGCCGACATTGTTTGCTCATTAATAAAACATGTACGCTTACAAAATATGGCATGATGTATAATGCTGACTTATTTAAAGCCTTTTAATTGATCGACTTCACTCTAAGAAAGGATTTTTATTGTTATATGTGAGGAACATAATACTAGATACCAAGCGATCATGTCCTTCGATTGTATTGTCTAAATGGAGATGGCAACATTTAATTACATCACTTTATTTCTGTGTGACTTAAATCCTGAGCACCTGTTAATATAAAAACAGTAAATCACAAAAGGAACAGGCTGTTTTTGTAGTGAGAAGAATCATCTAAAGTCTTCGTGACTCCAGTGGGTTTATTTTTGCATTCCTCAGAAGCACCAGGCAGACATTGCTCTGCCTAACTGTAACATGGACCAGTGAGAACACTATTTTGATCACTCTTGTAATTAGAAAAACAAGGTTAAGACAGTAACAACAGAAGATGCCATTATGATGACAGTTTGGTCGAAGGAAACTTCTCACCTTTTTCTTAATACTCCAAACATTAAAAAAAGGCAGAACAAATGTAAACAATGTTGAGAACAAACAAAAGAACAGGGGCTGTATTCACAAAGGATCTTAGGGCTAAAAGTAGCTCCTAACTGGCGAATTTAGGAGAAACTCCTAAACATAATGGGCGTGTCAGTCTTAAATTTAGGACTCCTCATTTTATTCACTAAGAGCAATTCACAAAGTATTTTAGGCCTAAAAGTAGCACCTAAGTTTAGGAGAGCTTAAAAGTCCTCGAGAGGACTCCTAACTCAGTAAGACCTATTCACAAAGAATCTGAAAATGGCTGCGAGACGAAATGTTTTGGAGACAATGGAAGACTGTGAATTGATCAAGAGATATAGGCTAAATCGTGAGGGTATCAAACTTGTTGTGGAATTAGTGCGGGATGCAATAACATCCCCGACTAACAGGAATAACCCGATTAGTCCGGAAATAAAATGTTTGGCAACACTACGATATTTAGCAACAGGGAAAATGCAACTTTGCAATGCCGACGATTTAGGGATATCGCAACCATCAGTCAGCCGTGCCATAAACCAAACCATCAACGCGCTCTCTAGACCACATATCATCCAACAGTTTATCCGGTTTCCTTTGGACAATCAACAACTACACAGGATCAAAGCCAACTTCATGGCAATTGCAGGTATGCCCGGTGTGGTCGGTGCTATTGACGGGACGCACATAAAAATAATTGCGCCATCAAAAGATGAGGACGTGTTCGTCAATAGAAAGAAAGTACATTCCATCAACACGCAGATTGTTTTCATTCATCATGATAGGGGGACTTGAACGGCGGTATGGGCTGTTATTGAAAGTGTTTAAGTGCTGGAAATATGCTCATTGGATAATAGTTTGCAGGGTGCTTTTAATTGCCCCCTTGATTTAATGCAATTTACATATTTTTATTGTTTGCTCTCTCTCTTTAACGTGCATATACAACGTCATTATCGTGGTCTGCACAAACTTGTCATCATGCGTGTATTCTGCTAACTGCACTGTCCATAACTATTTGATAGGAATACATTTCTAGCCTAGGCTATTTCCTTGTTTTAGTGGGCTCGTTTGTGGGATGTTGCGGATGAGTTTCACCGAGATCGCCTGCTCTGAACAACCAATCACCGTACTGACCGCTTCTAAACTCATGCACGAGAATCGACGTAATCCATAGCAACGGCGCGTCACTCTTAGTTCACTCTTAGTGATTTATCCTTAGTATGAGTAGGTCTCAGCGGCTTTGTGAATAACTTTTAAGAAAAAACTCCTACGTAAAATGTTTTAGCGCGAGTTAGGAGCACTCCTAGCGGTAAGATAAAATGCTTTGTGAATACGGCCCCAGAACAGCACCAGACACAAAGAAACGTATCGGCAGAAGTATAAAGAGACGGAGACAATCTTCGAACCGTAGCACCAGTACACCCCCCCACCGCGAGTCCAGCAGTCTGGGGACGAGAAGGCAACGCAGCACCAAAGTAGGTACCAAAATATCAAACTCTCAGTCTTTTACTAAGTTTTGTTGTCCTTTGAGGGTCTTTTGGGAGTTTGGGTGTCATTTGTCATCATCTTCAACTCTCCCCCACTCCTCCACATCATCCCCCTCCACCTCCACCTCCCCATCATCAGCTTCTTCATCCACATAATCCCCCCATGTGTCATACACATCGCCTCCTTCGTCCTCCTCTTCCTCACCGCCTTCCTCCAGAGGACCACCTCCAAAGTGCTGCTCATCCTCCTCGTCTTGAACAATCTCCATCTCCTCCATGTCATCATCTTCCTCCCCTGCCTCTGCTTCTGCTTCCTCTTCTTCTTCTTCATCATCATCATCATCATCATCATCATCATCATCATCGTCCTCGTCCACCTCCTCCATCTCTAGCCCACACACCTCCCCGTCCTCCACCTCACCGTCCTCCCTCTCGTCCTTGGAGGAGGTAGGAGTGGAAAACCCTTTCCCTTCAGTCCTGTCTCTGCGGTGCGGCCTGCTGGAGGGGACGAAGCTGGAGGTAGCAGTTTTTGTGTTGATGTAGAGACGTGGAGGAGGCCCAGGCGATGTGGCCGGACCCTCAGAGGAGGTAATGGGAGCAGAACTATCTCCCCCTGAGTCTGCGCCCACGGTGCCAGGCACAGCCGTGGCCCCGGGCCTCATGGTGGGCACATATTCACGAATCTCCCCCGGCTCCAGGGGGTCAGGCCCACAGGGGTCATGTTCACTGCAGGACAGCTTGCCATCCAGCTTGGAGATGAAGAGCATGCCTTCACGATGCTCCTTACAGTAAGAACTGGGGCACATCTCACAGAACGAGGCGGCGTCTTTACCACAGACGTCACACTGGTGCCATGGACACTCCCATCGCCCTGGGGAAAAGATCACTGTCATTACAGAGTATAAAAGGAATGGGGGCGTAACGGTATATAAACCATTGGCGCTCATTGTGTAACAAGGCGGAGATATAAGTATGGCTGCCAAAAACTGAGATTGTGGTTCAATTTGTACGTTGACAAATGAAGTAATGACAAAGCCCTATACTATAGTAAGCAATTTGTTGGCTTGGCCTATTTATTACATTTACAAAGTTATTCTAGTTTATTGTCAAATCTAGAATATAATCTGCATTTAGGTACGAAAAAATTCAGATTATACTTAATACTAAATATATTATACTAAAAAGGTTTTCCTTCAGTCCTACACTCGGTACGCTCTTCGTCCCCTCCCCGTTACTTGCCTGCAGGCCTCTTGGCCAGGTTGAGACAGTCTGCGTGATAGACCTTGGGGCAGCCCGGCTTCTTACAGGACACTATCTGTCCCCCGTCCCCACAGCTGAAGCACTCGTCCTCCCTCTCCTTGGTCACCTCTTGCTTGGTCTTCTTCTTCCTTCTACCTTCCTTTAGTTTCAGTTTCTCCACTGATGGCTGGTTCTGAACAAGGAAAACAGAGGTTATAACAGCAGCTCATTTCACATGTTTAAATGTGTCCCTGGTGGTTGAAAGTGTTTCCTAACATTTTTTACCTTAGGACGGACACCTAGGAAACCGCTGCAATTTGATGCTCCACATTTACAGGCAGTTTTCCCATTGCCAAGACACTCCAGGTTGTAGTTGAATTTCAGCTCCACACCTAAAGTACATAGTTTATTAGACCTTTGATTCTTTTAAAGTTATCAAATAATCTGCATTTTTAATCCTACACAACACAAAAGAGCAAAATGAAAGTAGGCTGTCACTCAGACCTTGTGGGATGTCTTGTAGAGCAAACAACCCGACCCTGGTGTCTCCATTCACAGTCCACTTCTGAGTCTCACAGTTTGGCTGGCAACTGTGGTTCATGAAGCGAGCCTGGTTCCCTTTGGGCCCCGCATCAATGATCCGGTCCTAGAATTAAAAATAAAAAACAGGTTTGCATCGGACGTCTACTTTAACTTGAGTGTGTTGCTAAGCCAAATCATAAAAAGACTCAGAGAGGTGTATTTGATCACCTTGTCCAGTGTTAGCATGTAGAAGTTACAGATGTCGTTCTCCTGGGCGTGTTTGATCCTGGCTCTACATTCTTCTTCATCGATCACCTCTCCGACGTATTCACTCACAAAGGCTCCCTTAGAAGCACCAGAAAAAGAATGAGAAAGAGAGTATTAAAAACGTAGAGAGATACGCAAATATCATAGTCGTGCATTTTGGAATTATTTTATTTCTTCTTTTTTTGTATCGTTTTGTTTATTTAAAGTTTCAAGGCTTGCATGGAACAGCAGTTCAGTTGTTTAGTGTCATAGCCCATTTCCCCAAGGGTTATTTAACCAAGTGTCATTAGCTAAATACCCCTTTACATGGTAAGATAGGAATATTGATAATAAATATAAAGTCATCATAAATAAACAAAAATAAAGAGATGAACAAATAAACACAATTTATATAAAAGAGATAACATTAGTGATATCAAAAATGAAATTATACATTCATTAGTGATAATAACCAAAAATAAATCTTTTTGACCATGGCCTATCTACATTTTTCCAACATACCTTTTTGATGTCCGATTCACCGACCAATCCCCAGCCGCACCCCAGTGTCCTGAAAATGTCCACGGGTGTGTACTGGCGCATTGTGAAGGTCTGGTTCTGACAGCGCTCCCCTGCCACACACACCTGAGGGTGGCACTCGTACATCAGCATGCGGTTAATGCACTCCGAGTCGATGCCGCACGGGTTCTCGTCCGACGCCTTACAGTTGCAACGTGGGATCTCTGATAGGTCGGCAGTAATGACCTGCACCTTCCCAATTAGCTTGTTCACCTAAGAGACAGACACAGGGGTGTTCATTTTTCACAGTTCATCTCATTGAACAGCGTTTTAGTCTGGGCAGAAAAGCACAAATCAGGGTTGATGACAGTACCTTAATGTGCCGGTACGGAGGAGGTTTCTTGTCGTTCTTTCTGTCCTCCTGAAGTTGCTTCATCTCCTTCTCTGCCTGGAGCTCTTTGAAGCGCTCCGCTGCAATATTCAGCGCTAAAAGACAAAACAGGACCTTTGTTAATAAAACACACCCTGAATACGTTAGTTAATGTCAAAAGCAGATTTAGACACAAAAACAAAACTGGACTCAATTACATACCATTTTTATACACTGCATCTGCGCCCTTTCCCATTTTCTCTATGTTTTGAGTGTCACCCTCCATGTAGGGGAAGACTCTTGCTTGGTACGTCCACACAAAGTCTTTGGAGCCAAAGAATTGCACAGGAAACTCTCCAACCTCATGTTTCATCCTTAAGATGTTGCTCGGGACATCTTTGGCCAGACAGACCTCTGCAGGCCACCACCTGAAGATTCAGACCAGATTTCAGAAATGCAAACACGGGTACATTTAGCTGTAACGTTACAGTGTGTATAGGCCAGGCAATGTTGTGACTTTACCTGTAACGCCCCCATTTGACCCACAGTATGTCCTTAATACGAGGCCTCTTTCCAGATTTGCAGTCATTGCAGAACCAGCTGCCCTGAGGCATCTCAATATTCAAACATTCCTGATGAAAAGCAGCAGGACAGGCCTCACAGCACAGCAGACTGCCCCCTACACAATCACAGCAAAACAGACCAATTAAGTTATATGCTTTATCAGTTTGTTTGCTTTATCCATAAAATGTTCAAAATGATGTGTGAAGACTAGTGGCCATCACACAGTGTCCGGGCTCAAAGCTCATTTGCATGAATTATTTGATATACAACAATATAAAACAAAACTGGAAAATCAAACAAAAGTTAGCTACTACAAGCAAATAAATATCAGACCATCCATCTATTCACAAAAGGAGGTAAAGCTTAACATTCAAAAATAAATCTGATCAATAACTGGATCTTATCTGCCAATTTCATTAAACTAAAATATGAAAGAGCCTTAAAATTATCACTTTGCCAAGAGGGAGCATTACATTGGTACATATTGGGTATAGACATGAATATGCTCTGGAGCACAGTGCATTTTCCAAATCAGCCACTTTTATGTTTTTTTATTAACATTTGAAACAGGGTGTTTGGGAGACGCATATTCAGATTACATTTACTTACATAGCTTTAGGTACAAATGCATCTTATAATTTATTCATGATCACAGGAGTTTAGCTGTTGACAGGTTAAAATAAGCATAAAACAGGAGGAGACTTACCCTCGGAGCACACAAAGCACCAGCTGACGTTGATGTGTTCGTGGTTCTTGCAACCCTTGCGGGGGGTGAAGTGGTTTGGACATAGGAAGCTGTTGTTTGCAAGCACCAAGCTGCCTGCTGCCATACAGTTGTCATTGGCATGATAGGCCACAGGACAGCGAACACAGCGAGCCAACCGACCTACAATACAAATATAGAGGAGCAAAGGTAGCTTAAGCGATACACACTTGAACTTGATTTGATAAGGGTGATGAAATCAAATGTAGTTCCACTAAAGAGCTTGGAACTGATGAGCTGCACCGAGAGTTTATAGTTTTTGCCACGCATGTCCCTAAACTGGCTTTTACCAGTATAGCATAGTTAAAATAAACTATTTGAGTGTCATAAAACACAATTCACTACAAATATCAAAACACAATAACACACTTATGACACCAGGACACAAATACACCTTTGTGTATTAAAGTTCTTAAAGTATTTAGACATCTAATGGAAGTTTTGCAACAATAAACTGACAAAATAGTGTTCTTGGAACACTTAATATAGAAATAGAGCCAGGTCAAATTGCAGTAATAGTAATTGCAACACACTGTTAGCAGTGCAGCATCAGGTACTTATTATACGATGTTCTAGAAGCATCTCGGGGTACTTATCAATTGCAGCCTCTTTGTTAGGTATCACTGTCTTTGTTCAAAACAGCTCATTGCTACAGACAGTGATTCACCCATAAAGATTCAAATCACCTAAACAAATCCTGATATCTCCAGTCATAAAGCTAAAAGCCATTCAATAAGTAGGTTTAGAAAAGCTGCTCAAGGTTTATCCAAACAAACTGGTTACATGCAACTAGCTTCAGATTGTGTTGTGTAACCAGAACATCTTAGAAAACCTCAAAACAAAGTCATTAATTTGCTCCAGGATTGACAGACAAGAACAAAGAGCAAGTTAAGTGATAGCAAGTTCAGAATTTGCTAAAAATTCAAACATGTATCCATTTTGCAGGAGAGTACACACTATAGAAGGTGATCAGGACTGTCTAAACTGGTAATAAATAGTCAAGGTATATACAGTATATATTTGCCAAGTTAATGGAGGAGAGTAAGGCATAGTTCCATATGTTGTAAGAAACCTGACAGTAACATATCATCTATGATCATCAGGTCATAGTTAAGACAATAAGGACATATCTGGCACTAAAATCAACATAGCTTCAAATATGTGATTTGAGCTTACCTTTAGAGCTACAGATGTTGAGAGGGTTGGTGATGTGGCAAGACAGACACACATGCAGAGAGCAGCGGAAGGTTTTGTTGTGTTGCTGGGTGGCGGAGTACGCCATTATGCAGTCTGTGTGGTAGAACTTCCCACACAATGCTATCATGCAGCGCTTTACTTCATTATCAGACTCCTTACACACAAAGCAGGTATGGACACCTGAAAGGGAAAGAAAACAATAACTAACATTTGTTGAAGTGTGGGTAAGGACAGATACTTTATGAGCGGTCATAGACTCAGCAGTTAGTCAGGCACAAGGTGTACGCACCAGCTTTGCATTCACGACAGAGGAACTTCCCCTTGGGAGCCACTGACAGGCCAATACACTGCGGGTGAAAGGCTCCATAACAGTGTCCGTCACACACCAGCAGGTCTCCCGTCCTCTCACACACCTGCACAAACACACACAATAAGATGTTATCGATCTACCCGTTACAAATAAACGATGTCCCATGCCATAAAACGCTAGAGATATAGAGTTTCTGGTGGATTATCTCACCTGACAGACATTCTCCTTTAAGGATGTGGCTCCTATTTTCCCTTTGACATCCACGTGAGAAGAGAGGCTGACAGAGAGCACCTGAACAGATGAAAGAAGAGATGAGGGCTGCAACTAACCATTTTTTGCATAACGGAATAATCTTTAAATAATTCCAGTTCATCAAAGTCCAAGAACATTTCTTTGAATGTCTTGTTTGGTCAGTCCGCGACCCAAAGATTTTACTTAAATATGATACAAAACAGAGGTAAACTGCAAATATCCAGATTTGAGGGGCCATAATATTATTTTCTGCAATTTTTGCAAGACCAACTACATTAATGATCAATGAATTAATAAAATAGTTAGAAGTTACTTTTCACTTGCCGCACTAAAAGATTAGACAATCATTGCAGCTCTATAGGAGATACTTTAAACTTCTGCAAGGCTACAGATTTAATGGATGACCAATGTCTTGTTTGCGGAACAATAGAAAATGCACACCTCAGATTTGGGAGTTAGTGTTCCAGTGTGTAGGTTTTGTTTCTCCACAGTGCTGCAGGCCTCCACCTCAGCCTCCTGCTTTGGGGTCTTGGATCCACGAGGGCTGGACGGCCTGTTTGGACTGAGGACTTCTGGGAGGTCTTTGCTCTCCGAGTGTCTTCTGGCAGCAGCAGGGGTCGAGGATGCGCCGGGTACAGGCTTCTCCCTCTTTACAGATCCAACCTATCCAATGTGAGATTTAATCATGTTTAGAATGGATATTTTTAGCATCATACTGTTTGGTTGAACCCAATAATGACAGTGAATGATTTTAAATATTAGTACCTGAGTCTTCTTGACAAACTCTTTCGCTTCTGAGGTAACTCTAGTTTGCTGCTTTGGCTCCAAAAAAAAGATTGTACGGTTCATTTAACATTTCTAGTTCAAAACACTAAGTGGAATAGTTGTTGAATGAATCTCCACATACCTTCTTCTTTGTATGAGCAACAGACACTTCTTCTATGGTACAGTCAAGCACCTTGTGAGAAAGCTTCCTTGGCCGCTTTCTTTCTTGGACCGAGGACCCTGTGTCTAAATTAGGAAAAAAATAATAATAACTCAGTATAACTTCAATGTAAAAAATAACATCTCTGGGGAACAACTGTTCCTTCTAAAAATCAATTAATTTGATTCTTGCAGCAACATTATTCTATTTTAAATTAGACAGCTAGAGAGTTTACATTTTCAATTAAACACGATATCCGGTTAAAAGACACACTTAAACTTGTTTACCAAGTTCAGGAGGTAGATCAGTTTCATCTGCTGTCTCTGCATCGAGGAGGTGTTGTGATGTGGTTGGAGAAGCAGGGGAAGCTACAGGAGAAAGTTCATCCCGACAAGGACTCCCTTCCAGCTCTGCCGGAGCCTCGGAGGGCTCAACAGAAGATGCCGCTGAGGTAATTATTCCCGGTGAGGTGCTGGGATCATGCAGTGCTGTCATCCCTGATGCCTGCTGCGTACACACATGCAAAGTAACCATCAAGTTCCAATTATATTTTACATGTTTTCAGAGAGGAATTTGCTATTTGTGTCTGCAATGATATCTTGATAACCTAGTAAAAATGATGACGATGGAAAAATTATGTAAGTGAACATTTTTAATGATTGCATGTGTGGATATTGTTGGATTATGTTTTTCTGGAACATAGAAAATTCAGGAATGAAATGAAAAAGACACTTCACAGTAACACCAGTTGCTGTTTAAAAGAACGAGTTTTGGAAGATCATTACCGTTTTGGAAGATTCTGAGCTGTGTTTCTTTGATTTCTTTTTTGGGACAAATATTTGTTCATACTCCTCAGTTGACTCGAGGAGCCTTTTAGTTGGTTTACGTTGACGCTTGTTCTCCGAATTACCTGCGTAAATACATAATAAACACAATTAAATATGTAATCATTTTTCGTAAGAGAAATACAAACGAGGTACAATCCAAAACACAGTAGATCAAGCAAAACCTTTCAGAAAAACTGTCTCAACACACTCAAACACTATCTTACGCATTTTATAATCTTAGTGAACACATTTAACAGCAGCCTTTTGTCTCTTACCAGGTGAGCTGCTTGTCTCTGAGATGTGCCAGTCACTTTCTGCCATCTTCTCAACTCCCAGATCAAGATCTGGTGACGCTCCTCTGGTGTAAGACCCACTCAGGTCTGCAGGCACCTCACTCATAACTTCACCCTTATTCTCAGCGGCCCCCATAACCATCTGCCAGCGCTTCTTTGGAGCCACTGTGGATCCTGAGTTCGTATTGAGGTAGCTGGCCAAGGCATCAGTAGTGAGAGTAGGACAGGACCCAGGATTAGCTAAATCAGCGTGGCCACTAACAAACTCCCTGCCGTAAGCCAAGTCCGCCAGGTCCGAAGAAAGTCCAGGTATGGCGAGTTTCAGTTTGGCAGGTAACCTTTGTTTTCTACGCTGCTTGTCCGAGTTCCCAGTCTGAGAGAGAACAGGAAAGCCCTCACAATGGTAGGTGTCAGCTGTCATGAGAGCTTTAGTCCTATTAGTTTTCACCACTGTATTTTTTATGGATTTCCTGGACCTCCCATTCTCCGTTTTCACCCCGAAGGCGAAACCATCACTCTTCAGCGGGTCACCCCCTGTAGAAGTAGGGATTACAAGAGGTTCCTCCTTTATGAGGACCGGTGATGGAGGGAGAGCTAGGGGTGTACCATCTTGTTCTCTGGTATCATGCATGTCTTTCAGAAGCATTAGGAAGGTACTGAATTTATAATTGGAATCAGGCCGAAATGCAGTCCCTTCCGAGTCACTGCTGTCCTCCTTCACAAGAGATTTAAATGTTAGTTCCTTGACATCCTGGAAAGCGTCCATTGGAGACAGAGACGAGGACGGGGAAGTAGATAATGACAGATCTGGGTTTTCTTTCTTGACCTCAACAGGCTGCACAGTGGGTTCACTTGAGTCCAAACACTTAGACCTCATTAATGAGCCATTACGAATTTGTTTCTTATCAGGTTTCCTTGCACGCCTTTTTGGAAAGCTGTGATTTGCAGAGGATGATACTTTGCTATGCAATTCCAACTTTTCAGTTTGGACGGCTGCATCAGTAGATATATTGTCAAGAGAATCATCAGCATGAGCACCTGTTGAGATTTGGTTTGTGCCCAGTGCATCTTTGAGATCTGTCTCTTCCTCTGCTTTCAGAGCCCTCGTCATCAGACGACTGCTGGCAGGAAGATTCATAGAGTGCTTTTCATTTGAACTGTACAACAGTTCATTACAGCTGCCCAAACTCTGTTCAGGTTGTTTGTCTTTAGATCTTAATGTCGAGTGGTTCACTTTTTCACTCAACTTTGTTTTATCTTTTGTGGAACCCTGTTCTTTCCTGACCAATCTGTGTACATCCTTTATAGGAGACACTGCTGTGCGTTTAGGACGATGCAGTACTGGAACTGAATTCAGATCTGCATAAGGTGAGTCCTTTGGCTCATCTTTCAGTGCACGAGTTGTTGTATGAAAAGGATCCGCTGTGTTTGTGATGGAAGATGACTCCTTTGATCCACCAACTATATGGCCAAATATGTCTGACAAACATTTCTTTTTCTTCTTACAAGCTTTGCCCCTATTGTTTTGAACTGCAGCAGAGTTTTTTATGAGATCATGCTCATTGCCATTGTTGGTCATATTAGCTGATGGAGGTTGAGCAGAATCCACAGAGACCGCGGAGGCCTCCTGTGTCTTTTCAGTAGCAAATGGACTGGGCACACGCTCCTCTCCATTGACGGATATTGAAAGCACGCTTTCAGTATTCTTTTGTCGATTTGGAAGAAGAGACTCAGCTTCTGTCACACTGACTTTCCAGGCAGTCAGTAAACTTTTGGGTATCTGCCAAGAACAGAAATAATATTAGTCCACAAAAAAAAAAATGTCCACAATAACATTATATGATATTTTTAAACCAATTTCTTGAATTTACCGTATACTTGTAGTCTTTCTCCTTCTGCTTCCCTCTCCGTCTAAGCACAGGTAGGCCTTCAAACTGATGGCCTCCCTCAAAAGGAAGAACGGCACTCCCGGGGACCCAGGCAGACTCTTCAGTCTCCCCAATCGTCTCCAGGAAATACATCCGGCAAGGACGAGGACTGGGAACTAAAATAAAACATAATAATATATAAATGGTCAACTTATTAATCAACTTGCGCACACACGGTATAATTCCTGTGGAAGGTGTTACTTATCAGGTAAAGGTTTTGATGTGGGAAACTATTTGGTTATGGAATCCATATTCAAATTAAATTTCCTCTGCAGCTTTACTCACCTTTCATCCTGGTGCAGATGCCCTGGTCACAGGTGATTTGGCAGGGCCACCAGGGCCGCCTGTTGAACTTGGCCCACACCAAGTCCCCTTCCACGTATTTCGCAGTAGAAAGAAGCTTTTTCTTTGGGCTGTTGGACTATCCAAGACAATAAAAAAACTTTAATGTATAATCCAGAAAACTGTGATATTGTATGCAAACTGGAAAAAAAATCCCAAAAGTATTCAAATATATTTTTTTCTAATAAACAGTTTATGTTTCTGTTGCACTTAAACTTTTCTCTGTTGTTTTGAGTGCATATGTAAAACTTTTCCTCCCTACACACGGCACAATTAATCTCTAAACGATCAATACAAGTATTTTTAGCATGACATTGGTACAGGTGTACAGCTGTTGGTGAAAGGTGGTCCAGGCACAATGAAATGATGACTTCAACGCATCGACATTCTTACTCCCTAACAGTACATAACCAATTTAAATTCTGAAAACATAATGTAGATTTTGTTGTACAGCGGTAAAGGAAAGAAAGTATCCAAGGTGTTTCAGACTCACATTGGAGTTGGTGCCAGCTGGTGAAATAAGTCCATGGTCAACAGGAGAGGAAAGTTCAACATCACTGTCTGATTCCTCACCCAAGCTCCACCCATCCCTCATAGTGATTTCCGGCAGTGCACTGGGGCTTAGTGTAGGGTTGAGTTCAGATATAGTTTTGGACATGAGGTTAAAGACAGTAGGTTTGTATGTTCTTTTATCCAGCCCTGAGCCCCTACTGTCACTCACAGTTTGGTCCTGACCCAGCTTTGGGGAGTGGTAAAAAGGTGCCATGTCCTCACTACCACTATCCTCCTCCCCCTCCTCCTCCTCCTCCTCCTCCTCCTCCTCCTCCTTGATGTCACTGCTGTCAAACAGTGTGGACTCGAAATGCAGGTAGCCATTTGGAATGGGAGAACATCGCTCCATGCTGTCAGGACTGTGAGGGGAGAAGCCATTCCTGCTCACATCCTGAATAGTCTCAAAGGGCTCCGTATCATCAATCCCTGGAGAAGAAGGCAGCTGCACTGACGGTGCCTCAAATTCGTCATCGCCATCATCACTGATGGGGCTTGCACAGTGCAAGTTGTTCCTCGGTCGGAGGTCCCTCTCTAGGTCCGGCCTGCTGACCACAGTGTTCAGGTTCTGCAGCCTCTTCAGCGGGCTGTAGCGGTGGGATCGGTCTGGCTGGGTGTACCCCAGCACAGCAGGCTGTTTGATGCTGGAGGATGGCAGCTGCACGGCTGGCAGTTGGTCTGATCCACGTCTCACACTGCATTGGTTTCCATAGGAAGTGCCTACAAGACCATTGCGGGGCCTCAGCTCTGGCTGGCCTGAGCCAAACCCTGAGCCTACCCTAACAACAGGTCTGTATGACTGATTCATGTTGTCATGGCTAGATCCTGTCAAATAAAGAAAAAGCAGGTTAGACGGGGGAAATGTGCCACTTAAGTTTCTCAGTAACTACAATAGTGACAAATGAGACTTGTATAGTGTAAACACAATAAATCTGGTAGACACATCAAATCATTGAGGAAATAGAGCGACAAGCATTTCGGGTAAACAGACACCTATAAAGTAGCACAGGCTACCATGAACTGTGCGCGCTCACACAGAGTAATAAGCCGACTTTGCATGGCCTCCATACTAGAGGCCGGTCGGACTGCACAAGACAAAACACATCCGCTGTCCCGCTCCTATCGCACATTTCATTCACAAACTATCAGAAAATAGTACCGCTTTGTCTGATGATTGTGGGTCATGGCGATCGCTGAATTGTACAGTCAATGGAGGAGCGCTGTAGTGGGGGTGCTGACACTGAGCCATCACAGTGAGTGGCTCACACAAACAAGCTACAGCCACACACCGACAGAGGAAGCTCCTATTAACTCTAAAAAGGGCTGATCGGCAGTAAGTTTACAACACTATCAACACGTGTAAAAACGAGAGAAACTCACCATTTGGAGGTCGGCCAACGTGAAACCAACAGCGGATGTTTGATAATGTGGCACAAAGCGAGTGTTTTTCTCGGTTTGTGGAAGCGTATCTGCACAATCCCAGCTGCAGCAGCACTAGCAGTAGGCCAAGGCACAGCTCTCATTCTCTGCACTTCATCGCCTCATCAGCCCCCTGAAAACTGTAACCTAAATACAAAATAACAAGTAAATCTCCATTACGCTGCAACACCGAAATTAAAATGTGCCATAACCGGTCCGTAAGCCTAACAACAGCTTATTTACTACATGATTTTTGCCTGCTGTCGAAGTGCCCCCGGTTATGTTAAAACAAGCCCAGACTGACTGTGTTGGTGAGCAGCAACCAATCGGCACTGCTACCCAACCCCCCGTCTGCACAGGGCCGTGACACTCACCCTCTTTACACACGCACGCTCGCACAATTAAAATCAAGCACGCACACAATAATTCACGTGCATGCGCATCCAGGTGAAGTGTATTAATGGTGTATAATAGCTATATGGCATAATAAACAGTAATGAATGACTTTTTTTGGATATGTGACCCATTTCTGTGCGTCTTTCATTGTTTTCTGAGCTTAACCCTACTGACAGGACTGTGTTTCTGAGTGTGTCGCAGGGAAATGGAGAATACAGAATGATTGCATTGCGCAAACAGCAACACGGCCTCGCCGGTCATAACTCCGTGCGCCATGTTGCCTTTCCACTGAGTCCTCTGACATGAGGAAATAGGCCGCTAGGCGCTCAGGAAAAATAAAATAAAGGAGTCAATGTGGCTGTAAGCGTGCACAAAAACTGAATTTTCGCCGATTAAAAACCCCACTGATCGTCTTCCATCTTGACCCGAGTAAGAATTTGATCCGTGTATTGGAGATTGAATTGACATAATATCCATAAACACGAAAGCACAATAGGCTCGCTGCAGTGGGCCAGTCCTTGAAGATCAAACAAAGACCATCCGGTTACATGCCGACCTGACAGCACAGGAACTCTCTGTGCGGATTTTAAAAAATACTATCAAGGCTGTTGATTTAAATAGGTAGGCCACTCATATCTCACACATTTTTGGTGAGTGATCCAGTACAAACACTGAACAGATTCGAGAAAGCAACTTATTTACCTACCCTGATAGTCAGCGTTAGCGTTTACACTAAACACTGTTATTTACCAGTTCGGATATCTCACGGTGTAACACTTAACTGTAAGACTGTAGATATCAGAAAGCTAGGACGTCATTTGATTTCACAGAAGGTAAATAAAGGATTTATTAGAAGGTGATTATATTATCTGGGGATACGGGCCCTCTTGTGTCCACAGGGAGAATTACATGCTTTCGATTTTACAGGAAATTGTGTACAGTAGGTACGTGGAAAAGAATGTATTTTATTTTGGTTTCACATACAACACATTAGTATTTATTACACAAACCACAAAGCATTTTTTTCAGTTTTTCAGTAATTTCCCCCCCTAATAAACAGCATAACATACACGTAAATCTGGAAGTGCTTATAAAGTGAGTTTGGAGATGATGTTACAATACATAAAACTATTCACAAAGTGCAATAATAACAAATACTGTGTTCAAAAAAATATTATAAAGTGAGTCTTACCAGTTCAAGCAATTAAAAGTATATTGCAGTGCTGCCATTTTAGGTATGATGCAGGATAATATCACAAAATAATACACAGATGGAACTAGACGCCACATAAAGGATAACTATACTTCAACATATGTATGCACAGGAAAAAGTATATTTGTTTGGCAGTAAGTACTAAAATGCAGTTTTATAAACGTAGAAAATGTCACAAAGAACTGGGTCATAACACATTAAAGCAGAGAAAGAACAACTCAAGGCAAGAATGCTTGATGAAAAAAAAGGATTAACTCTCAGTAAGGTTTTAACCCGACTGATAAATACATGTTTTGCCTTTACTGATTAGTGCGATTAATTCATTCACATGCATCTCTGCCAAACTGGAATAACATACTTGTAATTGATTCATGTATTATGATAAAATGAAGACAATGTCAAACACTGTACAAACACTCAGTCAGAACCATTTCTAAATGGCAAAAAGTTATTTCCTCCAACATTTGAGATCCCATCGGCATCTTCTTGCTCATGCACATTTTCCAGCACTGGAGAGAGAGCTGCAGAACTATTCACTGGATTCATCCACTTTGCAAATGGGCTCACAGAGGGGTCTTTTCTCCATCAGGTTGTATGGAAAAGGTGGAACATCACAGCCAGTGAAGTCCAGTTTCTTGGGAACACTGCAGTTAATAAAGTCAAGTTTCTTGGTGCCGTCACAACCAAACTCCAGCCTCTTGAGCCGAGCTAGATTCTTGATGCTGCCGGGGGGCCGTCCGGGGCTGACCTTATATCCTGCTGCTTTGGTGGTACCAAGGGGCCTTCCCGGGCTTGTTTTGAACCCAGCTGCTCTAGTGGTCCCGAGTGGACGTCCAGTACTTGTACGGTATCCTGCTGACTTTGTGGTCCCTGATGGCCTCCCTCTCCTCCCCGACTTAACTATGCTCTTCTTCTTTTTAGAGCCATCCAGCCCCGCCGCCTCACTGCTCCTGATCCTCACTGTCTGAGGGTGGAAGTCGTTCTGGGTGCCTTGCATTTGACATATCATGGCTTTGTGCATGCCCTGCGGCAAAGGGGCTAGGCCGGCAAGGGACAGCTGCAAACCAGGGGTTGTCTGAGATGGGTAGAATTTGTTGGACTGTGTGCTACAGAGATCAAAGTGGCTGGCTGGATGACAGTCCTCTGCCAGCCCACTCATACAATAGTCACTGCTGCTGCTTGTCACTTGATGCATCATTTTCTGTTGGAATGCAGAGAAATACAAACATTAGGTGGAAAAGCTACTCATGCAAATGTGAACCAAGAAAAACAAACCCAAAGAAGCATTTTTAGTAGCTTACTTTTGATGGAGCCAATAGGCCTTTTAGCGTTGCAACAAAACACATTTTACGTCAAGACAAAGCGAGGTAAACTACAACTATAGTTAGCATAAAGCCAAACAAGTCTCGCAGAAAAATAAATGTTACCGCATGCAATACCTTGTTTATTTTAAACGTAAAATAAATAGTTCGTACCTCATTTGTTTGGTGAATGTTAGATGGAAAGGGTTAATTTCGGAACGCATACATTATCCTTTTCTGTCAGCGACAACATGTTTATGAAGACGCTGCTCAAACTACGCCCTGGCATTCATGAGTATTGTCTTGTAGCGGGGCTGCGATTTCGGCTGTTTATTTCATGGCCATTTAATCCTTTAAGCAGAGGTTTAGATGAGAGGAGCAGCCATTTTCGCCTGGATTTTTTTTTGATAAAACAGGATGCGCTGACCACGCATGCGCACATTTTCGGAAACGGCAGAGACAAATCGGCATCCCCCATTGTGGCTCTGGCAGATTAAACAAAGACGCATCATAATAGCGTGCGTAACTAAACAAAGGACCCTTAGTTACATTATAACAAATAAATAAAAATGGACACAACTCCAGCAATACCATCATCTGCTACATTGTTCAAAGTGTGGAAGTACTCTAATACAATTACGCTTTTAAAATCAGTATTGCTGGTAATTAGGAACTAAGAGTGTACATGTGCCACAATTACAACAACAGAGACACACCTTCACTTTTTGTATGTTTTATTAACATCCATATCAACTTAAGTATAGACACTGGATTTATGGAGCAAATGCAGTGCCAGGACAGCAATATACATTTCAGTGTTTCCCCCGATGGACTTCTCCAAACGTATGAAAGTCCATAGGACTTATGTTTCCTTGATGAGCTTGGTGAGCTTCTGAATCTTTGTTTTGGTGGACATGTCCACATATTTGTCCCCGATACTGACGATCATGCCACCAAGGATGGTAGAATCCAGCTGTGAAGAGGAGACAACGTTTTAATTACATGCAACACTTAAAATGTTAGGTTAGAGTGTTTTTTTAAATTAGCTTTACTTATATTAATGCATTTGTGAACTAAGACTATATTTAGTATGGTACGGAAAATAATTTTTTGTTCCGATTGGCTTCCAATCTTGAATTCTAGGCATGGAACATTTTTTGGGGCAACAGTCAACCTTGACTATTGATAACAGTGCTCTAAGAATTTCACAGGATTATTTTAAAAGGTCTACCATTTCATATATGTGAATATAACTTTTTCTGCTATAGTTTTTTAATAGAATATATGCAAAAGTATTTCTTGTATTTTCATTTTGTTTCTTAAATAAAATAAAAAAAGTTATCCCATGTACCCAAAGGCTTAATAAATGAGATAAACTTGGAGTCACGACAACTGCAGAATGTTAATTTGTATGTGTGTGTGATCTTGCAACATACCTTTGTTTCCAGCTTGATAGATTCATGCTTCTGAAGAAAGCCCTTGAGAGCTACTTTCAGGTCAGCAAGGCTAGCTGCATCCAAAGGCTGAAAATTGACAAATGTTCCTTGGTTGATTGTATAACATATTTGCAGTAAACAGATGCAAAAGTAACTGATACAGAATAATGACTGCGGTTTAAGGTGACCAGTGTCAATGTGGAGTCCAATCCACAAGGATGTGGAGTCAGATAGATATTGTGTCAACTCATTTTATACCTGTGCAGTGGTGACGGTGCAGGAGACCTCTCCACGGTGTGCACTCATCATTTTGCCATAAGCAGCGATAACGTCAGCAGTTATAGTAAGACGACCATTATCAGCCAACACATCTGCAAAACAAAAAGGAGGATACATTTGAGGAAGATGCAACACTGTCCGTTTCCCTGCATTACCAACGGATGGCCTTCAGTTCAGCTAGAGTGTAGAAAAGCCTATTTAACCTAACATATCTAACTTTATAATATAAATAGTGTTTAGGCAATTACCGTTTAACTGCCTTGTTCCAAAAAACCCTTACAGAGATTATTAGACCACAAGAAGCTAACGTATGACCACAAGAAGCTAACGTATGTCTCTGACCTCTACGGAGGTCAGACAAATATTATGTTCTACTACTCTATTTTGCTGCACAAGATGGTTTTCATTCCCATGTGACTTCTTATTTTAGATAAAAACAACAGAAACATTTGTGTGTATACCCAACACACTGAAGTCAGTAGAATTTCAATCTAGCACAAACTATAAATAATTAAAATGGTTGAGGCTAGGCAAACAAACGTGTTTTTACATATTCAACATTGAAAACACTGCACATTTAAGATTACTTTTTCATACGTTTTGCATGTTGTAATTGGACTCCTTTATGCTTTTTTATGGTAACGACCTTACACTACACTCACATACCAATTCACATTGCATACCTGTGTTCTACTCATCTTTAATTAGTACAAATTCATGCTAAAACTTCTAGCAGTATTGATGGCAGTAACTCACTGATGAGGTTGAAGGTGATGGGGGAAACCTTGGACTTTGCAAGACCATCCTGGAAGGTCTTCTGCTTGAAGCTGCGCTTTACATGAGGATTCATTACAATACTGGAAACCTTGGGGTCCTTGATCAGGGACTGAAAAACAAGATTGCAGAAGGCAAGAGGACACTCAATTCATGTACTATAATAGAAATGCATGTTGAATTGAAACACCATGGATGAGCAAAAACTGAAAATGAATCCATAATTATCCTTATGTCTGATACACAGGACATTGTAACACTGTAAATTGATTACCAACAATTATATTCTTATCAACTTGTGATAAAACGTTGAGAAAACACTCCTCCTCATAGTCACCTTTACATAATTAAAACTGCACTTCAAGGTCTTAACTGTTCACTTACAGACACTTTCCCCAGCTCCTGCTCCACTTGGTCCAGAATGTTCTGCTTGCTGGCAGCCGAGAACAGAGCAGTGGCATAGCGTCCCTCCACCCCGTAGACCGTGATGGGAGCCTTTAAAGACATGTACACACAGATTAACTGCGAACTCTAATCATTCTTAAACAAGCGTCCTGCAGTGTGACGATATTTACCTTGACCAGTTTTTGTCTGATGACAGACGTGCTGAACTGGCGGGCCTAGAAAATAAAAAATAAATGATGTCAACACAGATAAAGCAGAACATTAGCCGATTAAACTTTAGGAACCAAGTGTACCGTTTACGTTAAACTGAGCTAGCTGGTAGGCTAACACATTAGCAGTCATTCAAGTGCAAAGGCCTCGTGTGGGTTTTTTGTACATTAAGAGTTACATCCTGGTCTCCAAAGGCAATACAACACAATAAGATGTGCAACTGAAATGATAAACAAGTCGGTCAAAATCACTGTAACATGATTAAAATCACCAAAATCATTGAATGTCTTACCTGCTGTCCTAGCATGAGTGCTGCCATTTTCTCCTACAGCTGTGTAGAGTAGAACAAACAACTGCGCATGTGCCCTTGAGAGGAAGGAGTGTGACTGTGGGTAATGTAGTCTTTCCAGTGTGGCGCATTCTGACAGGTCAGGTCTATAAACAACATTTCTAAAAATAACAAATGTGGGGCCATTCAGTAGTGTAAAAAGCAAATAAACATTGGAGTTGCTTTTCTGTTTATATAATATGACGTGTAAACCCAAAATAGACACACTGTCAAAAATAAAACTGGCAGTAGAGACCACACATTAATTGTGTGGGAAGTTTAAAAAAGAGGTTCAGTGGTTCAGTGGTTTCTATTAGCCCAGAAACCCCCCAACCGACTGCTACAAACGGCAGACAACATATCTGTTACATTATTAGCTTTGCAAAAATGTGAAGGATGTGCTTAAGACTTCAGAAAAGTCAGTTTATCATCATGCTGCTAAATACAAACCAACTTTGTGCAATATGTGCTATATGTGCAATATATATATGCCATTAATAAATGTGTAATTTATACCTGGCTGCTAAACCCTTGTTACTGTTACAAGGTATCTATCTTGTATTTTGTAGATTGTGTAACTTGCTGCTGTTAAATACCGTCAAACTACACTGAACAAAAATATAAACGCAACACTTTTGTTTTTGCTCCCATTTTTCATGAGATGAACTCAAAGATCTAAAACATTTTCTACATACACAAAATAACCATTTCTCTCAAATATTGTTCACAAATCTGAAAAGATCTGTGATAGTGAGCATTACATTACATTACATTACATTGCATTTAGCTGACGCTTTTATCCAAAGCGACTTACAATAAGTGCATTCGACCAGGAAGATACAACCTTGAAGAAAACAGAATCATATAAGTACATCAGGTTTCATAGAGCCAAACATTTCAAGTGCTACTCAACTGGCTTTAGATAAGCCAGCCCTTTATTAGTATATAAGTGCTTTGTTAGTAATTCAATCGCTCGAAGTGGAGTCTAAAGTAATAAAGGGCTGGCTTATCTAAAGCCAGTTGAGTAGCACTTGAAATGTTNTGTGTGTAGTCATCGGCAGAATATCTATCTTCTCATATTTCATTTCATTTGTATTTGTTCCATTCATGGTATGCACAAACTCAATGTATAACAATTATTTACAAAACATGTCTCTGTAAACATACCATACTCGAAAAGGAGCAGGGAGAAGAAAATCTTATATGACCTGCCCCTTTCTCTAAAAAAAAATAGAAATAGATGGTCTGTCCTTCATATTTTCTTATTCACTGGCAATCATTGCTGTATTGTAGGAAAATAAGAGGAACACAAAAACTTACAAAAAATACTTAGTTCCCACTTGACAGTTACGGGACAGAAACAAAAAAAACTACAACAACACCAAAACATCACATGAACAAGGAAAGGTGCAACACCCTCATCTGAGTCCAACTGGAGAAGAAGGGGAATAATAATATATGAAAATAATAAATGTTAATATAATAATAATAACAATAATAATGGGACCTGCAAATAAAGAACAGACATCACAAAAATATACCAATGCAGAACCAGAGTACATAAACGTATTCACATTCCGCTTCATATAGTCTCATTTTTCTTAATTTATACAATTTCTCTAACTGAAAAATACCTATACAATTCTTTAGATCATTCTGTGGAGAATTCCACAGTTTTACACCAACCACCTAAATACACATCTGCTTTAAAGTAGTACAATTACATTTCCTTCTGTGGTCTTCATTGTCTGATCCCAAAACAAACAGCTGTTGTAAATGAATGAATGTAGGTAGTGAGACAGTTGTTTCTATGGTGTTGTCTAACCTCATTGATCTCTGTGTGAAGGCCTCGTCCAGACGGCCACCTACGTTGTCCTGATTGGAAACAGAGAGTGGATGAAGAGGAACTGCCTGCAGGTCAGACCGGACATCGATGAGGCCATGATCGAGCACGAGCGCAGAGGACGCACGGCTGTCCTCGTGGCTGTCGACAGTGAGTAGCTCTGTTTCAGATGAAATGTACACTGTTAGCTGTTTGTCATAATTGTCTGATTGCTGAAAGTAATTTTGTGTCTAAAACGACATGTATTCCTTTTGTTAAGCATGTTACTTTGTGTTGTAGACACTCTGTGTGCGATGATAGCCATAGCGGACACGGTGAAGCCAGAGGCGGAGCTGGCCGTCCACACCCTGCTCAGCATGGGGCTGGAGGTGGTGCTGATGACCGGAGACAATAGCAAGACGGCACGAGCTATCGCTGCTCAGGTACGACAGAGACGTAGAGCTGGGCGATGTGAATATCAATTGTTTGGGAGAACACAATGTTAATTTAAATTACAGTGTTGCTTTTGGAATAAACAACAACATACAAATCACAATATATTACGACATCATGGTATCCAAGTCGTATAATATTAAGCACTTTTAATGAGTGAGAATTTTTGCACTTCTGGTTTTTGAATGGGTTTTTCGTGAGATGCCAGAAATAAGCGGAGTGGTTAATAATGTCACAAAAATTCCATATGACTACAATGGTTGTTGGGACATTAATGTAATCACGCAAAACATCATAAACGCAACACTAGTCGGCTTCTAGCTTAGTGGCGGCGTTGAAATAATGCTACCACTGACATTGACATTAACATTTATATTTTCATTTACAAAATTGATAATAATCAAATAATATGGAATCATTTACACTTTTAAAAAAAAAAGATTAAATTGTTGTTCATTTGTTAAGATTGTGCTGCTGAACAATACATATACTGTAAGTACCGTTATCTTCGCCACAGAGCTTATTGTATACAATAATCCAAAATTCAATGGAAAAATATCAATGGCTTCTTGTCCAAGGCAACAGGGCGATGCTAACTTCCAGCCCACAGAAAATACAGCAATCCGGCAGCAACAGAAAACCTTCTTAGACACATAGTCCAGGTCTTCTTTTTTGTATATTTCTGTGTTTCTGAGCCCATTTCCCTGCATTTCCTCAGGTGGGCATCAGGAAGGTGTTTGCCGAGGTGCTGCCCTCCCACAAGGTGGCCAAGGTGGAGCAGCTGCAGCAGGCAGGAAAGATCGTAGCCATGGTGGGCGACGGCGTCAACGACTCTCCTGCTCTGGCCATGGCTGACGTAGGCATCGCCATAGGAACCGGGACAGATGTGGCCATAGAGGCAGCAGACGTGGTGTTGATCAGGGTGAGGATTTGAGTTTGGGGGAGTTTTATTTTTTGGTTGCAATAAATGAATATCTTTTGACACGGTGTCACAGAGCACAACACTGTATCCTCAGACAAGATGTTAAATTCAATTGTAATATGCCAGTTTTTTGCAAGACATAAATCTATTACTGGTCACTAATTCTGGGTAACTCAAGAGAAAATCATACATTTCTATTTTAGCAGTACTGTTACTTAAAAGTACAGACGTTGGTTATTATGTAACTTTTGTCTTTATTTCCTAAATGTAGCTTTATTTTTCCAAACATTTCGTTATCTTAAAACCAGCAATGTATAGCTAATAACATGACAATGCAGAATAATGCTTTTAAAAAGAAAATAGTTTAGCTTTACAAAATATATTCATCCACTTTGGACCACTGGTTTAAAAATTTCAAAAATCTAAGTATAAATACTGAATCAAACTGTTTCCTTATCTGAAATATCTACCCTTTTTTCTTACGCTGGTTTCGTCTTGAGTGCAGAATGACCTCCTGGATGTGGTGGGCAGCATCGACCTCTCTAAAAAGACCGTCCGGAGGATCAGGATCAACTTTGTCTTTGCTCTTATCTATAACCTGGTTGGCATCCCTATTGCTGCTGGTAGGTGACTGTTGTTTGAATGATGTCTTCTCATTGACAGTGACCAGTGCCACTGTTTGGATCACCGCACTGATTAGAGCCGTGTCTTTCCTCAGGTGTGTTTCTCCCCATTGGTCTGGTGTTACAGCCGTGGATGGGCTCTGCTGCCATGGCGCTGTCCTCGGTCTCCGTGGTCTTATCTTCCCTGCTGCTCAAATGGTAAGAGATATTTCATCTGAGAAACTACTGGTAAACACATCCTCTTGTCCGGCACTATTCAATTTCCGTAACATGGAATGAAACTCTCTGAAATACACGTTTGAGTGTTAATTCTACTGCACATGTCAGCATGTTTGCATACCGGTATGTTCATTTCTCTTCAAGGTTCAAGGCTTTATTTTCATGTGCACATTTAGATATGGCAATGAAGTCACAAGCTACTCCAACAGTGCAACATGAATATATATATATATCTATATATATATATATATATATAGATAGATATAGATATAGATATAGATAGATATAGATATAGATATATATATATATAGATAGGACATAAAATAGAAATAGTGCAAGAATAGTCTATATACAAGTCAATGGAATATGATATATATAGATACATAATTAGCTAAATGCAAACGGATGAATGTATTGTTTTTTGCACATTTGGAAAACATACCAAAAAAAGATCTTATTGTAAGTAATTGGGAAGTTTTGAGACGCCATCTGTATGTTTACTTTAATTTAGTGTGATTGCTTTACCCTATTTGCCTGTCGCTTCAAACAAATTGTTCTTCATTTACAATACTTATCTTTAAAGGCAGTTTTCTACAAGTTAGCTTTTTATCAGTCAGAGACAGAAATTCCCACTTCATTCATTTAAAAAAGAAAGAAAAGTGTTACACAAAAGATAATTGTGTTAATGTCTATCATTTTCATTATGATATATTTTGAGTTTGTAACCCTATTCACCTGTAGTGTGTCCCCTTAACGTGTTTTGAGGTGTGCTTTTTCATTCTCCCTTTTTTTTTAAAAATATTCCTCTAAAACCATTTCCCATCGCTGTCCACATTAGTCTAATCCCGTCTTCTGGTCTGCTCAGTTACACAAAGCCCACGGCGGAGAAGCTGGAGGCCAGGCTTGGGAACAGCAGGCGTCCGGGCAGCCTGTCCGACGTCAGCGTCCACATCGGGATGGGCGAGATGCGGCGTCCCTCCCCCAGACTCAGCCTGCTGGACCGCATCGTCAACTACAGCCGGGCCTCCATCAACTCCCTGCGCTCCGACAAGCACTCCCTCAACAGCTTGGTGCTCAGCGAGCCCGACAAACACTCCCTGCTGGTGGAGGAGGCGCGGTGTGAGGAGGAGTTCTGCTGAGGCTCACACGGCCCTCATGGTTTTAAGCTGAACTAGATAACAACATTTATTCTAGGCTAGGAAATTGAATAACTGCTGCTGTAGGTGCCTTAGGGCGGCACTGTTGACTTGGAAAAAAAGCTTACATGTCCCTGGGTTTTCTTTTAGCTCAACCAGCTGATCACATGCACTTCAGAGAGGGAGGAGGGGGGGGGGTTTCTCTCCCTCAGTTGCAGACTATCTTTTGTTGAGGTCATCGCCCCAGGGCCCAGTCTTTGGCCGAGCCTTTGACTCTCTGTGGGCATGAAGCATCTACAGAGCTTTGAAGCGTCCACATCCAGGAAGCAGAGATAATCGCCTCTGACCTGCCAGTACAATCTTTCCAAAGACATTTTAACCGTGGTGCCCGGTATAAGAGAAGACACTACCAGGCTATATTTGAACACTTATACCTTAAATGGGAAATTATAATGTTGTATAATTATATGTTGTATTTATATTACCCTTATTTATCTATTTTTTTCATTATATTCTATGTGAAGAGTGAAGTTGTCGAATCCAAATGTATCCACAGAATGTGTAATTACTGATTAAGGAATGAAGACTCGTGAAGTCAATCGAAGAAGAAACCAGCTGAAGACTGAATTTTGTGCTACCTGAGTTAGCTGTTAATGTCACAATGTAACCCAAGTGCCAATCCAAGAACCACCTCGGCAAAGTCCATCACATTCCAAAGATAGCAGCGCACAGAGGTGACTTTGGATTCATGTGGATAAAGTTTGAACAGAGATAAGGTCAACGCCTCGCAGCAGACGCTGAATGGTGACTGCAGCTATAGAACACCTCTCATAGGTTTCTATAGGTGTGTCTGCGTCTTCAGTTAATGATTCAATATGTCTGTCAATGAATGTGAACACTGCTCATTGTTAGAAATGAACAGAAATTGTTACATAGGTGACTTTGTGCTGAAATTGCTTTATTTGCTCGTTGCAAAGAGAAGGTTTTGTGTTGGATGCAGTTCGTTGTGAAAAAGAAAAATGTGTCTTTTTTTTTTACACAGAAGACATGTTGACATGTCACACACAGGAAAAGCAGAAGGGAAGTTAATAAGGAATGATGTTGGGAAACTTTAATAGAACGGACATTTTCAGTAACACATCCTTTTCCTACTCAAAATGTCTGCTGTGGAAAAGGCCTTTTGCGAAAGCCTTTGTTTTCTTTCTGTCATCACACTAGATAAGATGTTGTTACTGTTTCCAGTGGTGGCAAATCTGTGCTTTTTATTATGTGATTCACACTGTTGCACTTGATCGAAGAAACATCTGTAAACCCAGGGGAGCAGGAAACACAGCTGTGACTCAGCAGTTCCACCAAACAAGTTACTGAGAGGCAAATGTTGAAGAATTAAGTAGATTGTTTCTTTAAAATCATTGTAGGAGAGGAAAGGTTGAGATTACATCTTGCAATCAAAGACAGCTTCTGGTCAGCTTTATTTTTCTATAATGTAAAAGTATTTCAAAAATGATGCTGAATTATTTTCTGCTGTGTCAAATCTGGAGATAATCATTACAGTCCAGCTATTCCTTGCATTTCTGTGTCCCAAGCTTCTATAGTATTTCTGTTTGGTGATATAAAATGCCATCAGTTTGTCCTGCCACTTTCCCATGATGCATTATGTTCTGTAGCTATCACACCCAGCTAGGTGCCAATCTGTTGTTTGTTCGTGGCTTTGTAAAGATGTCCATAGGGCTTAGGCTCTGTGTGCACTTAAATTTAAGCAAGTCCATGTTTGCTGTCTTTCATAGTTCTTCTGAACGTGATGTGCCTTGGAATAAAACGCATTTGTAATCTCACTCTGTGTGCAGTTTCAAACACAAGGTGGCGCCATGGAGCCGACAGCTAAACATTACTGACACCAGATTTCATCAACTTTATTTATTCCAGTAAGTCTAAACATCATCACCCCAGTTTACTGAAAAACAGATACATTTTCTTAAATCATTTTTCAAAATGTTCATCTTGATTAATGCAGACTTTAAATGACTTCTTCCTCTTGAGTTGATTTGTATCGCTTTGGCTGTAATGACAATCTCATTTGGTAGATTGAAACTAGTTAGTTATTAGGTAGTTAATTTCATATTTTTAACACATTAAAGGGGGATTAGTTCTCATTATATGCAGTCAGAGCAAGTTCATCTTCCCTTGCTGATTTAAGCTAAAAAGCGTGGTGGTGAGGAAACTGAACAGGTCTAAACAAGTATTTAAAATGTGCAGCATTTAGAATCTGTTACCATATTGTGCTTTCTGGACAAACACAGCGTTAACAGCTGAAATTAGAAAATGCTACATTCAGTTACCTTTAACACTAGAATAACAAACTTCACTTCAAACCAGCTAGGGAACCGCTCCATCTTCAACACATCTCTCTGGAAACACTGACTGTCTAAAGAAAAGTTACTTGTACAGCAATATATGTAATAGATTTACAGTATATTTAACATTTAACACCTCACAGAAATTACACACCATGATGAGCAAAAGATGCAATGAAATCAAATCATCATTCACAAGTATTTGATTTTTCTTTTTTTAAAGTAAACATTTGAATTATTTGGAGCAAGTCTTTTAACACACTGGATCCTTCATACCTTTTCAAAATGAGGAGAATTAATACTGTTAGTTTTGTGGCTCCAAGTCCATCTTTTTCACTCTCTTAATTTAAAATATCCAATTATAGATCTGCCATGCCGCTGTACAGTCTCCTAGAATTCTTCTTCACAGTTATATTTCATTACAGCAGCTGAAAATGCAAAATGAAAATGCAATCAGCTTTAAAAAGCCAGAAGGCCCACACAGCACAGGAAACACCAACCGTGTCCAAACAGCAGGGAGAGATCATAATGTCCGTCATAATTAAAACACATTCATTAGATTGATCCCTGCCTTTATATATAATTCTTTCCCTGGAAAATACTATCTTGTGCATGATTTTGGTATTGTTTTCCAAACACTGACAGCCATGTCTAACATGTGGAATATAGTACCTCCAAAACAATGTGATATAACTGCCACATTACCATTAAAATGTATCACTTTGTGCGGTAATAATCAAGCCTCTTAGGATGCTGCGTTGAATTACAGAAGATGGATACTATACACGTTTGTGTAAGGTATGAATGAGTGTTTGTGGTGTCACTTATGGTGATCACTAAATCCTGGATGAACACTCGGACATATGGAAGTTGGAACCTGTGTGTTTGCTCAATTATTATTATTGACACATTTTGTCACTGGCATTCAGCTCTCCTGAGTTTGGCCTCTGTGTGACTAAGTATACATAAAATCATTAGTTTTCACAGAGGTTAATTCATACAAACGGTTTGTTCATGCATGTTGGCAAGCAGAATAAATAGTACGATACACTGATTATTAAGACATCAAGTAGCACCATGTTGGCCCATGGATGGTTGTTAACATCATAGCGTCACATTTCGTGGGGTGGATCCCGGGAGAGTTGTTGTCAGATTCATGGTTACGACGTCAAGAGGCCTCAAGGCTTACTGAACGTCACTCATTTGGCAAAATGAACTGATCAAAGTGGATGTCATTATTAGGAATAACCCTTTTGAGGTTGTGATTGTTGATGTGAGTACAGATTTGGCAAATGCATGAACAGCAGAGGTCTTCGTAAAATCAATGTTAAAGTCTGATTATAATGCAGGTGAGAAATAGGGTGACTGCCAACCTTTACATAGAGTATGAAAATCAATTGGCAGCGACATGCAACCGACAAGTTGCTTACTTAAAAATAAAATACTTCACAGACAAAATGTCCACCTAAAACACCCTTACAATGGCCACTATACACATACGTCATGATAAACATTGTACTTTTCATCCGGCCCAGACGGAGAAAATCTTCTATAGCAGTTACGATAAAATCAACAATCACATTGACAAAAGCAAACATCTTGTTACAAAGAGACTGACAGAGAGGTAGTCCCTAGATATCCATCTGAATACTGAAAATGAGGAGACACTAACTTAACTTTGGCACACTGAATGAGGAGGGGCTGGCCGAGAGGCGAGGACTGAGCCTGCAGCTGTGCTATGGCAGTGTTTGGATGGGGGTACTGCACACTCATAGCCCCTTGTTGAAGTAGACCCTCTCCACTCCTGGGTTGTTGGCCCGGATTTTCTCCTGCAGCTCGGGCTCCAGGTGGCTAACTGATATAGAGCTGGGGAAAGAATGGGAGAAACGCGGGGGTTAATGGGTCAAACACATATACACTGCAGGCGTGTTATGCAACTGCTCAAGCAGAGAATAATATATTAACCTAGAGAGAAGCTACTTTTATCTCAAGGTCAAGTTTTAACGTGTCACTCACCTCTTCTGAGGGAACAATGCACAGCACAGTGGAGTGGCAAACACCAGGCTGAAAAAAAACACAGATCTATGAAACATACAGACACACAGCTCAGAACTAACTGTCCTGATGTCATCTGGTTTATTCTCTGTGGACCATATATGTGCAAAAATAAAATGGCATCCATCAAAAATGCCTATTTCTGGATATTTTAGTCTGGACCAAAGGAACTGACAGATTGATATTCGTACTGATGGAGCTACACTGCAAGCCTGGCTAATAATGTTTTTTAGTATTCAGTCAATTAAAAAACAACCAAGTATTCAACTTCCACCGATGTTGATAAGTGCGCTAGTTGGCAGGATGTGCTGCTCAAATCAAAGTCATGTAGTCTAAACTGAACTGAAGGAATGTGACACATGATTTTAAACGGGTCAATTTGAGGTCACAAGAGGAGTCAGGAAATCCTCAGAAATACATGTGGGAGGATATTGTGGGGGAAACTTCTGAAGCAATTGGAAACAGGAATCAGAGAGACACGAGGAGAGCTGGAGCTTTGAGGGTTTATTTGGAGCTTAGGCCGGAGAATTCACAAGACATGTCACGGGCCAGGAGTTGACCACACGGATGAGATGCCACAATCAATTCTGAAGAACCCTCCTGTAAGTCCCCAGGTTTTAACAGTTCAGAGTGTAATAATCAAACATTCTTCAAAAGATAGACTAAACAGCTGAGGGCACTGAATCACATTTGTTGTTGCTTATGGCTCGGGGTCATCTACACCCCGAGAAGGATGTGTTCCAGGTGTCCCACAACAATAACTATAGTACGAAAGTTGCCCGGTCATAAACTGGTAACAACAACAAAATGCTTAGGCAGCCCCTCCTTGAAGGGAGATAGCGGTTGCCCAAGGTTGGGCATCTGCGTCAGAGTGCAAAAGTTAAACATTGATACAGAGTTATTCCCTGACAGATATGTGGATCATTTTTCAGAGGAAGAAAAAACCGGATCTGAAGCTCTTTGTAGAAATGACTCGTTGAGAAATGGTAAAAAGGCTGAGATAGGCATAGGTAATAACCACTCTTACGTGCAAATTCCCATTGAGATACTTCCCAATTACTGTAAAAGACACATACATCTTATGATCGCTGACATTTCATATCGATATAAAAGATAATAATTGGAAATTTCAATGGAATTTGACGTGGCAGCTAATGAAGTGGACCGTCTCTAACAACTCACCAGAATCCCACCAGGCCGACTTGAATAGGTGCACTCATCCATGGGAACTTCTGAAAAGACCAGGCAGGAAAGAAAACCCGAATGAGGGGCACAAAAGCAGTGTTGCATTCCCATACTAGAGTGGCCTCGTGCCCTCAATGCTTTTCATTCCTCTGATGTGTGTTGACGTAAAGAAAACAGAAACTTACCCTCAGAAAAGCCTTCTTTTCCAAATGGTTCATCAAAAATGGAGGGATAGCTAAAAAAGACACACATTAACATTTCAACACTTTCAACTAAATCTGTGACAACACAATAAAGTGGGTTGGTATTTATTGTACAAATGATCCGAACATATTACCCATTCCTGGAGAGGCCATGAGGATCCTGGAGACCACAACCTGAGAGATAGCCTGCTTTGCAGCGTTCGTCGACTCTCCTAACCTGTTGTCATTCTCATCTGTGATGGGAATGCCGTGTTTAAGTTCTCTGAAAACAAGGACCAAAAGCATATTTCAATCAGAATCAACTGTCCTTTTATTACACAGATAAGGGGTAATGGCCCAACATGTTTGACATTTTCAGATACGAATGTAAACAACAAGGATATTTCTTTAGCACAAACTGCGACAGGTAAACATTACTCAGAAAAGCATCTAGTTTATATAATATTCTTGGTTTATCTTTCTACAATAATAATAATATAAATTCAAACATACACAGATATTTTACCAGGTATTTTGGTATGTATTCATTACATTAAAAAACACACTTCCTGTATTCTAGGAATTCTGCTGTCAAAGACCCGAAGATTACAGACTGCCTGTTTTCACAACACTGAAACTATAGTCCTCTTAGAATTAAAATGATAGCATTTATGTGAAACTCTTGTATCTTGTAAAATGTATCTTAACTTCTTGCATCAGCCGTTTTCTTTTTAGCACAACTCTGTTCCCAACCAAAGGTACAATAAGCCACATGATGTACTGCAATTGTCTACATGCTTAGGATTAAGTACTTCTGATGAGTGTAAAATGTCCACTTTACCTTTGTCTCATCAGTGGGATGTTAATACAGTTAGCAGCAGCTACAGCAGCAAATGGAACAAACCGACCAATCAGGGGTGAGATGTGCTACGGGAGGAGAGAGGAGGTATGAAACAGGAGGGGAGAAATTACTCATTCATTTCCAATGTAGGAATTTCTTTGCTGCTGACATTTTAGATGTTGTGTATGTATTCTTTCTTTTCTCCCATATATCAGGATGTATAGCACAAAGTCACTATGTAAGATGGCTGGACAACGTGCTGATACCAGGGCATGACCCAGTAAATAATACGGCTCTCCTATGACAAAAAAACTATGTGTGCATGGCTAACTTCATGTCAGCATTAAAGTGAGATGCAGAATGAATAGGGTTAGATGAACTGATACCTTTGTGAGTGCATTTAGTCCCAGAGCGGTGGCCACTGCCCCTGTGGTGGCAGACACATATGCTGTGCCAAGCTGACTGTGAACAGAAGAGTCAACGGTCACATCACATGGAAACTGTCCACACACAAACAAATTAAAAGGGTTAATCTGAGCCAGTGCTGAAATATCCCTCCCTTACCTGACAGTGAGTGGAGCATCGCCGCTCCTGTTGGTGTAATTCACTATTGCATTGAACGACTGATTGATCCACTGCCAGAGCAACACAGCTGGAGTTGTCCTGCAGGATGGAAAACATCATTAAAGGACAGTGGTTTTTATTTTTTATTATATCATAACTTAGTACTTTTTAATGCATGTAACATATTATGCAACAGCTTTATTAGAAACAGTTTAAAAGAAAAACAAAGAGTACTTTTCCAATGTCCTTCAGTAATATATACCATTGCACAAGTGAAAACATTGTCATTTATAGGAACCCTATCAGCGAAGTAATGTGTACTGATAGCAAGGTTCCTACAGCTTTTAGGAGAAAATTCAAGCACTTTCTTTGCAGCTAAACAACACGTTTTGAGACTCTTCTAGGCCTTCATTACTTCTAGGAGTAATTCCCATCAAGATTCAGAAACTCAAGGGAGTCCTGGCTGGGAGTCCAGGCTGGTAAATATAAATGCATTTGCAAGAAATATTGGCATTGTTTAATTTCAAATATTATTCTTTTTTTGTTTTGGGGTGATGTTTAACCACCAGATTTAAAAAAAACAACAACCTTGAAGCCATTACAGCTCAAATTAAGCATCTAGGACTACAAACAGTACCAGGACTCTTGAGCAGATAAATGGAATTCAGCAGTGTGCATTTTGAACTGTGACACATACAAATATCTTCAGTGAAAGATGCTTGTAAAGTTTATAATTTCATAACGAGAAGTATGAATAGTGGTAGGGATATAATTAAAAACCCAACATGTTCCTACTTGTAAAATGTCATCATGCATCCAGTGATCGTCATGTTCATGGGAACCTGCGCTGACATGCGGCCAATAAGGATCATCTTCTCCCCAGTATCGGGATGGAAGGCCGAGTCAAAAACATATTTGGCTCTCCACAGTTCATCTTCAGTCAATCCTGGAGAGACTATACCTTTCCTGGGAGACAGTAAATGTAACATGTAATGTAAACCCATTCATAAGATCCTTATACTGGTGTATTAACACCATCTGCACTTGCAGCCGCTTACCTGTAGTCAGTGATGACTTTGTGTGAATTGGCTAGTTGTTCGTTGGTGAGGAGAATGTTCCTGGGGTCTGTGACAGTGAAGAAATGTTTAGCCCGACCTACAAACGTGCTCTGGTCCCACCGGGGCTCTTTGATGTTTATGGAGGTGGATAGCTCTGCTGCCATATTTATCTGGGGAAAGGAAAGCATTACAATAATCAGCAAGCGCACATAACTATGATACTTGAAGGGTCAATTTTAGTCACCGTATTTACAATCATTCTAAAAGAGATCTCTGAACAGGAACATGTTGGAGTAATATTTCTCTGGAATCACTGTTTTAGGCTGAAATGTGCTAATATTGTTCAAGGATTTCAGGGCTGACACACAATTTAGTCACAGCCCCTCACTTCTTGTTTTCTTTTGCAGACACAAGTCAGGGTAGGGACCTTGTGAAAATGATCCGCCTCTGTGGATTTGCAATGCTGCTTATTCAGCATTATGTTGCTATGGTGATTGCTGACCTGACACAAGGGTTGTGAAGCACTAAATTGGAAAGCCCCATTATGAGTGCACACCAACCCCCAAACTGTGGCTGAAAAGCAGCTCTTGTTAAAAGAGACAAAGCTCACTGCATGTGCGTTGTGACCAACTGAATGGCAGCTCTACATTTCTATTATTTTACTATCAATGAACCACAAATTGTTTTAGAGCAAAGCAGGTTATGCAACGCTTTATTAACACCACTACTAGTGATAATTGCATTCAAGTGTTATGCATTTATGATGTCATAATCAAAAACCAGATAAGACTGGCCTGCACTGAATAGACACTGCACTATCAGAAACAGCCTCTGTGTATGTGCATGCAGCATGCTCATTCTCCCCAGTGTGTGTCCAGATAACCCAGTCTGATCTGGTTTTTAACCATTTGGGCCATGCTCCAGCTGAACTACTGAAAGGTAGGTGACACATCAGAAGCAAGTCAATGCAAAGATCTGCAGCAGCTGCATGATGAAACCCCTTTTTGAAATTGCACCAAAGATGGCTGCTGGGATTGACAATAAAACATACTTCTCTCTTGCTTTCTGGCGGCTGTGGCGTACAGGAGACGTGCGGTCTCTTTAAATTGAATTAAACTCCATGCGATTCTCACGAGATGACAACAAAACACCCCCTCATCTGAGATTGTCAAATGAAATACCAAATCTGTATGGCTTGGTTTGAACAGAGCCATATTTGTTGTCAAACTACTGTTAATAGCATTATATAATAATAATAATAATAATAATAATAATAATAATTTATTAATGAAGGTGATAGAAGAGGACAGAACTTTGGACTGTCAACCTTTGATCTATAATCCTCTGCCCTCACTCTCAGCCAATTAAGGCGTTCTGTGTGGCCACACATTAACCTGCAATTCAAAACCCTTACAATCAAATACATCTTTCAAATAGTATTCGAGATGCATTGCATGTCAGATATGTAATCCCTGATTTATTGTGTATACGGCATCTGTAACATTGAAAATAGCTGTCAGTGGTCTCAGGGTAAACATGCTCTGTGACTGGTTACGGTTAATTGTTCAACCCAACGTAGACCAGTCAGATCTGGACTGTAGCTGGAGGTGTCCCTGCCTGCATCCGAACAAAGCGATCAAGCCTTAAGCAGATAATACAACATCTAAGTAGCATTGTTTTTAAACGACCAATTAAGCACGACATCAGTCCAGTCGTGTAATTGTCCAGCTGTGCTCCAGATTCAACTAGTATCAGCCTGCCACATCCACACATCTAGCTGCACGCCAAACGAGTCTAGTTCCCCCGACCTCAGACAAAAAGTGCAAGCTGGATACGTCTATGCTGCAGTCCTGAGGGATCCATCAATACAAAAAAGATGGCTAGGTTACTTACTGCACTGTGGGCTCCGGCGGTCTGCAAGAGGTGTCCCTGAAAGGCTGCAGACAGCTAATTTGACATGCAGCGACGTCAGAGCACACAGGCACATCCCCCATCGGCCGGAAGCTCCCCAACAAAAATAAAAGTCCCGTATGAAAGCGCCAATTCACAATGGAAAATATGGGACTTGTACAAGGCCGGTAGAAACAAAACTCTTTCAAATACATGATGATTTTTTAACCAGTCTATAAAGCAATATAATCGTGGGTAAACACTTGAGGGGCGAAATTAAGTTTAATTTAACTTCGTCCTTCAAACAAGGCTTTTATTTTGAACAGCGAGCTGAGTACTACATCCGGTAACACTGTGGTGTTTTCGCCACGATGATTCGCGGGCAGTAAATTATTAATGACTGGTGAAACTTTGGATTTCCACACAGAGGACTCTGTACTGTACAGCAGTGTGATATTGACACCCTTATGTCTTGTGAAGAAGAGAGTGACCCTTAAACAAACATTATTTGGTTCATATATTAAGACCATAAAACTGAATTAAACAAAATAAGTCACCTATGGCTAATTAGCAGTATAATAGCTTCCATGTTGTACAGTCGTTATACCTGTGTTACCAAAATGAAAACCTAAAAAAAGAACCCAATTTCCTGCACACCTTCAGTAAACCTGATAATTACTATCTTGAATGTTCTTTTAGTTCATCAGCAGTTGTTCTTTGGTGCCTGTTTCCATCTAGTGGTGACTGGTGAGAGGAAATAATGCCACAAGTAGTGCTTAAATTGAAGTAAATGACAAAGCAACTTCAGACTTTATTTCATATAGCTGATGCTGCAAAACATTAAGTTGTTTATCTTTCAACCAATTGTCATTGGTACCAATATTGCCTACTTAAATGAATTACAATAACTCCCATAGGAGACGACAGCAGAGCAAGAAGAGAGCGACGTACACTATAACAGGGTATAAAAAGAACATAGTCTGTCAGTGCCATGTGATAAAAATCAAATACAAAAGTGCAAAGAGAACATATTCATTTCCGACGTCTAACCCTATTATCTTACTTCACAAAAAAACTGTTGAGCTTTAGTTACAAAAAGAAAAACAAAGAGTTCACTTTATATTTACTGTTACCTTTGATTTGAGGCCATGCCAAGTGAAAGATGCAGTTTACACACTGTATATGGAAACACTCTGGTCATCATTAACACCCTAACAAAGATTACTTACATTTAGTTGTTATTTATCAGCATTACTTCATTAGTGTTTCCTGGCAATCCAGTAGGTATTGTGACGGTATTGTTCATAGTAGCAATCATTTCTAGCAATAAAAACATCATGCACAGAGAGGAAGTAAAGTTGAAAGGATGGTTGTTATAAGCTATATGTGATAGTTTCCATTCCATTGGATTATGGCACATATGTTTTTGGTCCATGGGGTTATGAATGCTTTTCTCTGTGTGATCTCTACAGGAAGTAGTCTGGTGTACGCCGCGTCACATGGGGCTCCCCTCTGCGTGGTGCAGGGTCGAACTGTAGGCTGAAGTGAACAAAGGACAAGACTCCTCAAAAACTCACATTTTAAATTATGTGTTAATAATTCATTTGTAAGAAAGTGCCATATCATTGAAAAGTTGACACATTTGTATCAAAAATATTGTTAAATGTACTTACAAGGAGTATTTCAATGTGTCATCAAGTTCCATTATTGCGGCCTGGTTTCCACAACGATAGCAATAGTTTGGTGCACTGAAGATTGTCACTACATTGCGGTCGTGGCACCAATTATAACCCTGGAACAAAAGAGTATTGGCATGTTACCTATTGTACCTATTTACATTTTCCAACATGTAAAGTTAAATCTGCATTTGCAATTTTTCTAATCAAAAAACATAATGATAATAATAATTTTCAGCAGTTAAACAAACTTTAAGTACCTCCATCACCAGTTGGTGGGCTCTTGAAACCAAAGTTAGGCCGTTTGCGTGGTTGAAGGTCTCAGAAATGTCCTGCCCGAAGGTGTAACCAGCACCACGGGGTGAGATGCCCCAGCCACCTCGGTCATCTGGGTCCGACCATAAGAGGTCACACATCGGACCCTGAAGCATGGAGGAAACATTAGTGTTGTACAAAATCTATCCAATATATAGAGGTTTTAGGAAACTGTCAATCTACAGAATTGTATTAAGGCTGCAGCTAAAGCGAGTTATTGCTTAGGTAGGAATTTTTTATTCTATTCATTTCCTATGGATCAATGAATTTATATATTGTTTTAGCTCTAAATTTCATATAAAATTCATGAATGTGCATAAATGTGTAATACTTGATGTAAAAATTATAAAGTATCAAGAGCAACCTTGCATCGACATGCACAATCATATGCCTTAATATAAATGTAATCCATATGTTGTTACAGAATAATCCATAATCTGGAAAGGCCTTAAAGGTGGTTTGTCTAATGTAAACAATTAACATGTGCTGAAATTACCTCGTGAGGAACTTCCTGCAAGCGATCCAGCGCTCTGATGTGTTCCAGTGTGTCTATTGAAGGAGATAATCCTCCATGAAGGCAGAAAATCTTGCAGAAGGGAGAGAAAATAAATCATAGGTGATTAATGATACATTCCTGTATCTGTGCTTTATGACACACCCTACCTGTGAATACTCAACCTTACCTGGTTATCTACCAGCGCAGTGAGGGGCAGATAGTCAAACAGATCTGTGAAGTACTTCCAAACATTGGCATTTCCGTATTTCCTTAAGCACTCGTCGTAGAAGCCGTACACTTGTGTGATCTGTCTGCTCTCATGGTTCCCTCTGAGAATTGTAATTCGTTCACGGAACCTTACCTTCAAAAGAAAAATGTGAGTATAAACAAAATGGAAGATCAATTAGCCATAAACATTATGCCTTCCCCAAATCAAACCTCATGAACGTGAGAGGCAAAGTATTGTTTTGATTTTTTACCTTCAGAGAAACCAGGAGAGAAACTGTCTCCACAGAATAGTAGCCTCTGTCAACATAGTCTCCCATGAAGAGATAGTTAGTGTCTGGAGACTTCCCTCCAATCTTAAACAGCTCCATCAGGTCATGGAACTGACCATGGACATCTCCACAGACTGTCACTGGACATCTCACCTCCTGCACGTTGGATTCCTTTGTAAGGATCTCCTTGGCCTAAAATAGAGGACCAGGATAACACAGGGTGATGAACAGGAAACATGGAGTATGGTGCAGGGTATGCACGTGTTTTACAATAATACACTAGGAGACTGAATTGCATAATTGTTCAGATAATGAGGTATGCAGCAGATGGTTATAACGTGATGTGGTACTGCCAGTGCACCCAAGTGAGGAACCAGGAGTGGGCGTAGACCTAGGAAAACATATTTTCAGGCATCCTCCTCCTCCATCTTCTTGGCAAGTTGCTTCCCTTAACTATGTGCTGCATGCAGCTGCAGCCAAATGGTGCGCTCCAAAGCAAGGCCACATGCATTAGCTGACGTTATTCAAGACAATACGTTATGATTCTGGAGATGTAACAGCGAATGGCCCGCTAGCATTGCAGATATCTATTGACAGGTATTAATAGCTCGCCTGAATTCCTTCCTGCGCAAACCTTACCTTTTCACACAGGACTTTGACCTGATTCTCACTCAGCTGTTTGCACTCATTCAGTTGTTCAATCCATCCGTCCAACTCCTTGGTGAATGACTTGTCGTCCATGCCTGGTTTGCTGTCAGCTAACGAGCCGACCAGCTTTAAAAACAAATCCGGAAAACGTCTCGCAATTTCGTTTCGTTTGATGTCCCAGCTATGCTACGTCCTAGCAAGCGCTCTGGTCATTCGCAGTTTGTACGTGTGTGTGTGTGTGTGTGTGTGTGTGTGTGTGTGTGTGTGTGTGTGTGTGTGTGTGTGTGAACGAAAACGAATGCGTCAACTGCCCTGCGTCCCTCCAGTTTGGTAGAGAAAAAAGTGTTTAGTTCACATGATACCTAAATAATGTGACGTAACTATTCACAGTTAAAATTAATATCATAGAGCCCCTTATTATTGTCACAAACAATACCAATAGCTCAGAGAAATGTAGACCCAACCAGCTAACTCTGGTCCAGAGAGGATGAGCAACAAATCACATTTACGTCATCATCGGTGGTGAGCTCTCTGGGAGGATTTTAGCAAACAAACAAAAACGCAAATGTGACCCTGCGGGATGAAATAAAATTAGTTTATGTATTTTTATCTTAATTTTTCATTCTGGTTTAATGTTATCTTGATCTCGGTTATATAAAGAGTGAAATTGCTCTATGGCCCTCTGCTGGACGACAGCGGGAACAGTCATGACCAAAGGTTGAACCATAGACTATATAAACATTAAAAATCCAACAACTTTCAAATCAGAATCAGAATACCTTTAATAGTCCCACAGAGGGGAAATTTGCAGCGTTACAGCAGGAAAGAGCCACAGACAGCTTAGTGTTGCACATCTTAAATGCGTTAAAAAAAGTACTAAGTTATAATATAATAAACAAACAACACAACAATATGCTAAAATAGTATTAAGTTATAATATAATAAACAATATGCTAAAAAAAAAGAAAGAAAAAAAAAAGATAAAAACTAAAAAAGTTACCTAATTTTCAAAAATACAGATCAAAAACAAATCAAATCTACAAATCAAATCCTGTAGCAGTTCTTAGGATTTAGCAGCCCGGTATATATTACAGTTATTAAAGATGGCATATGTATATCAAGTATATATTGCACATAAAGCACATATTGCACATACACTGAACAAAAATATAAAAGCAACAGTTTTGTTTTTGCTCCCATTTTTCATGAGATGAACTCAAAGATCTAAAACATTTTCTACATACACAAAATAACCATTTCTCTCAAATATTGTTCACAAATCTGAAAAAATCTGTGATAGTGAGCACTTCTCCTTTGCCGAGATAATCCATTCCACCTCACAGGTGTGGCATATCAAGATGCTGATTAGACAGTATGATTAT